ATGGAACTATCGAAATTTCTTCGGAGGCACTACAAAGGTTACACCGCTCCGATAAACTGGAGCCATTTTCTGAAGTCTCAAACATTGCTCAAATGGTGTTGTATATACTCCATACTACATCCTCCGCATTGGTTCATTCTTATTTGGAAGTTTTAGGTATATTGTTCTCTGAAGACGTTTCTACCCTTTCCTTTTTTTTTCCATGTCGTTCTCTTATTCTTTCCAAGATATTGGTAATATCTCCAGTCTCGACTCATCTTCGCTTCTTTCCGAGGCAGTGGCGGGCAGCCAGCTGAGTGGCTGGTTCTTTAGCTCCGGCTTAGGGTGCCCGCTTATGGGACCCAACATGCCACTAAACGTAGTCCTTCCCACATGGCCTGGTATGCGTCCCGAGGGTCTTCCGAGGGTCTTCTATTTGTAACGTCCCATGCAGGAATCCGAAGTTTTAATTTTTTTGGTTTTTTTTTTCTTCTCTCTTTCTTCTCACCTCTACGAAGTATACATACTCGAACCAAGTTGTTGTCAATTTCACTTCAATGTAGAAAACAAAAGACATACAAGTAGGGGCATTGTCGCTCCCCTTTATCTTCCTTTCTTTTCCTCTCCGGGTCTCGGGGTCCCGCAGGACCCATTTATATCCCCTTTATCGTCCAAGCCTGAGCTAGGTTGACGTGGTGGTTCCTAGCCTTTCAGCTTAGGCGGACCATACGATTCCCACATTTCCATGGATCCATGCCCCTTGAACATTCGGCCGTGACCATTGTGATAAACGCTTGTTCTGTGCACGGTAGTCTAGCTATTCTCCTACCCCGTATTTGGACTCTTCTGTACCTGTCACATCGTATCCAGGGACGCCTTACGGGTAAAAGGGCTTCTGCCGACTATGGGCATGGGATCGGAGGCTGCAACTGTCTTCTCCGAGCCGATCCTATAGGTTTCTGATACTGACTAGCTATCTGTATCGTTCCATACCATCTGTAACCTGACGTTTTTACCAACGAGGTTAACGGCTGCCGCTATGGACCGTTTGGTATAGGATCTTCATACAGGGAAATAGATCTGGTGCTGATCTGTGGACTCGCTGAGTCTGTGATCTGTTGGACTTTCTACTTCGTACCTATGTACTCCGTACTCCGTACATGTACAACATTAGTCTCACCCTCCCCGGCCCACCCTCTGAGAATTGGTTTTGGCTGAACTGCTTGTGCTTCTCTCTTGTATTTTTTTTGTCTTTCCGTTTGGACTTTGAATCATCTCTCATCTATGTAGGCTACAAGGGGTGAAGAGGTATCCTATTTCCAAGTGATCACTTGCATCCTTTTACTTTGTACGTGGGAATTTGTCGAGTTGCCAAAGTGGTGGACCCTGGGGCCATTCCGTTTAATATCCCTGTATTTCCACCGTTACCTCGCTTGGCCATTAAGAGCTATTTGCCTCACAGCATATCTCCGGTCGATCCTAGTCTAGCGGCGTGTGTCCCAGGTACCACATTTTCACTTTGGTGGGTGCTTCTCTCTCAACACCTTATAGCTACTGCCCAGCTGCGTAACGATCATCAAAATCAATCGGGGCCGATCTCAGATCCAGGAAAGGGTAAAAAAAAAGGATAATAAAGGCTGGAGACAGTTGTCCCGCTTGACGTCTTATCCTCGTTTAGGCCTTGTTTTTTTCCCTCTTTTCTCCTCTTCTGGAAGACACACCGGTTCCTTTTCACCTGTCATTCTTTTGGCGCCTATAATCCCCTTTCTTATTTTCTCCAACTTCTGGAACAAAGCAGCTTCACCCTTTACTTTAATTGCAGAAGAAATCCTGACCCTTTTTTTTTGGCGGCACTTCCATCAGACCCACCAACGTCTCATATCGGGGGAAGTCTACCGTTTCCTTTTTGGGCTAGAATTTCTCCTATTGTTTCTTTTGACAAAAAGTCTTGACTCTACCTCTTTTTCCTTTTCAAAGGAGAACTTGTCTTTAATCTTGAACGATCGTGGGTAAGGGTAACAAACACACATACACACATACACACACACACACACACACACACACACACACACACACACACATATACACACATACACACATACACATACCCAAACCAGACCACGTACCATGTCAGTCGGTGGCCCTTGCCTTTGGTTGCCTTCGTTATCTTCGCCAGTTCCTTCGCCCCTATCTACAGTTTCATCTCACCTATCAGCGCGAAATAGCGAGAGACTCTCTTTGGGGCCCAGGACTATCTCACCGCGACTATCAGTGCAGAAGAAAGAGGAGTCTGGCGTTCCTGTTCCTGTGCACGTTCCCGCTCGTTCTGTGGATATGCAACCGACTGGTTATAAGACTGAAAACACCTTGAATAATCCGGTGGCACAGCCTGTCAGCATGGGTTCGGCGCCGTACTTGGAGAGAGATGTTGCACGGGATACGGTCAACCACCGGCTGGAGACGGCGAAACAGGATATGCTTCCGCGTGTCAAATTGGAGATTCCAAGTCTGAATCAGCGGGGTTTTTCAACTGTTCAGCCCCTGGTCGGGCACGGTGACCATCCTGAAGAGATGGGTGTTTCTTCGTTTTCTGGCTCGCATGACTCGAGAGACGACCACGAGAGAGAATCGACAATCAGTCCTGATGACGATAAGGATATGATGGGTAGCGATGATAATAGATCGCCTTCGATGGAGAAGAAGAAGATGAAGCGTTTCCGGTACGGAACTTTGTCTTCGAGGCCCGGCGCACTGTTGCTGACAGAAATATAGTCTAACACATAACCAAACCCGCTTTCTGATGAGTGAGTTCACTCGCCAGGCACATCCCGATGCGGCTCATCGAGAACGTCTGTCGAGGGAAATCCCTGGTTTGACCCCGCGTCAAGTGCAAGTCTGGTTTCAAAATAGGTAGAGTGTTCAACTAGTAGAATCGTCCGTCCTTGGCTAACGTGGATGTGCTGCCAGGCGAGCAAAGCTCAAGCGTCTCACTACGAATGATCGGGAGAGAATGCTCAAATCTCGAGCCCTTCCTGACGATTTCGATACCACAAAAGTTCTCCGCACGCCCTTTGGGGGCAAACAATCAGGTGTGACGCCAGTGGCATCCCCACAAGGTTACGGTGTTCCAAATCCTGATTTCGGGGCTTTGAGAACACTGCGTACCGACTGCTACGCCCGGCCAAACGAAGAGGAGTATCTCGTTTCGCCTCTCAGCTCTGCATCAACGGCGGGGACCTACATGTCCTCGACTGGAGGACGAAACGACAGCATGTCTCAGTCGAATGTAATGTTCCGTACTGCTGCGTCCGCCTCCATGTCCGATTTACATAGATCCATCCGCAACGATTATCCCGTTACTAGATCAAGCAGCTTGTCCGACGCATCGGCCCATCCGTCGCCATATGCGGGGTATCCTATGCACAATCGCTTCGCGGGACCACAGCCAAACCAGCCAGGTCTACCGTACATGAGACGGCCCATGGAATACGCTATGCCTCGTCATCCGGGTATGGGACCTTATGATCAACATCAATCATTCGAGGGCTCAGTGTCGCCGACAGACACTCAAGCTTCACATATTACCTACGATATGAACAACCTAGGTTAGTGTTCTCTCCTTCTTTCGACATTCTCCAACCAACTTCCTAACATGATGATTTCATGCAGGCCCCCAACAACCGAACTACAGTCTTGGAATCGGCTCTCAATTACCGACCCAAGGCCGACCCATGGCCACCATGCAGAACCTGCCAGTCTCGGCAGCACAAGATTACCGGCCTTATTCCTACGATACTACCGCAGGCCCAATGGGCACACCAATTCCCTACACGCAAGCAAACACCTCAACTTTGAATCTCCCTACTTCAGAGCCATCTTACAACTACCCCAACTATATTCAGCAATGAGAGGAGCAAGACAGTGGGCTTGAAAAAAAAAAATTCGGCTTCCACTTGTCTACTAATACGACACCCCTGTTTTGCTTTCCACGTCCCCCATCTTCATCCCCATCTCCATCTCATCTCTCTCATCCGCCTTCTGTTAACTGGTTAGCTGGGTTAACCAAGGATCTGTGGTCTATATCAGCGAGTTTTAATCATTAATCATTCTCATAGCGTTCAACAGTTCTGGTTTTTGTTTTATGGGCTTTCTTTTTGGATATCATCTGTGCCTTGTGTTATCAAATCTCTTTTTAAAAACTTTTCCTTGCCTGCATGTGCATTGTTTGGTTTGATTTCACATCATGTTGTTCCCATTCGTTCGCGTTTCTTTTGGTCCGGTCTGGAATCTAGCGATCATTGTCTGGGAGACAGTTTGTCTAATTTTAATTGTTTCTGGCATAGCCTCGGGGTGAATGAAGGGTTGAAACGGTATAGAGATGCTACTGTGTTTAGAAGCGGACAGACTATCAAGTCTACAATTCATTTGAATCAAATACACCAAGTTGTTTCTCTACTTTCCTCCAATTCCATGGCACTGTACACATCCTGATATCCAATTTTCTTTGTTCTGTACTAGCATTGAACTTTGACTCATTAAGGTCAGAGCTCCCGATGCAACTAAACGATAGTCCCCTTGCTTACATACCCTATATAGGTCATCCAAATCCAACACAGCGAATCAGAGTCAAGACAAAAGTAATCAAATTCTTCTCGCCTCTACGCATCCACCGTCAGGCCATGTTATCCAGCCACTCAAGAGGCGCGTATTTGCTAGTCTTCGCGACAAGCCAATCAGCATCTACCAAAACAGAACGCCACATCACGTGATGAATTGCCTTCTAGCCAATCAAAGCTGCTTAATTGGTAATCACTACTCATCTCTGACGCATGCAGAACAATATAAAACAACCTGTAGAAGCTGTGTAACATTTTTTTCCATATACACTCTCATCTTGATTCAAACAGTATCTCATCTCTTCATCTTTCATACTCCCATCTTGCAAATTCACAAACTCCCTCATTTTCAACATCATCTCTCAAACTTCAAAAAGCGACGTAATATCAAATCAACCCGCCAAAATGGTCCACCCCACTATTACCTGCTGCAAGATCACCAAAGACGGCTCCTGCGTCTGCGCCGCCCAGGCCAAGTGCTCCTGTGGCCAGCAGAGCGCCCTCCACTGCAGCTGCAATAGAGCTTCTTCCGAGAACGTTGTTTCTGGTCCCCGCTGCTCATGCCGTATGTGATGCCACTACGCTGATAATTCGGAAGAAACACTGTACTAACACATTTGAAATAGGCTCTCGTCCAGCTGGCCAATGCACCTGTGAGCGCTCCGTCACCGAGAACCAGACTATCACTGGTGAGACTTGTGCCTGTGGCAGCCGTCCTCAGGGTAAGTTTTAGTTTCCGTCTACAAATGCGATTTGTGATATTGAATGCCCTGCTAAATTTGACTTTAGCTTCTTGCACTTGCGAGAAGGCCGCTGCCTTTGACTCTGCCCTTGAAGTTGACTTCACCGGTACTGCCTAAGTGACTCGATTCACTTCTATCTTTGCTTTGATAATTGCATTTTTCAACCCCGCCTTGATGGGGTGGTGGCGTCTTGGGCTTGGGCATTTTTTTACTGGATGAGGTTGCTTGGGGTTGTCAAAATAATTACTACAACATAAATGATACTTGAAATGAGACATTAATACTATTCAATTTTTACTACTCCGTACAAGATGTATCGGCACCAACCGGGTGCCAAACGCAAAGAAAGAATTGCGAGTAACTTTATAGGCTACTTTGTTTCATGGGCTAAAAGCCAATGAAATGGACTTGGGGTAGCTCCAAGACGGGAATGCACATGCTTCTTAAAATAGACTTGGTGCAACCTGTCGAGCCTCAAAAGCTTGTTTGGAAGGGGATATGCAGATTAAGGGGAACATGTTGAAACTGTCATTAGACAACCTCTTTTCTGAGTGTCTTCTACAGGTGGGGGGGGGGGGGGGGTTTCACGGGGAATCAGTCTCTTGCGATTCAGTTCCGTAGGCTGATTAAATCTACAACTTTTACTTGCCCCTTGCACCGCCACATCGGATCAGTATTCCTCCGCTGCCACACACCGCCACAGCGGAACCCAGGCTGATCGACAGCGGAAGTGACCCAAATGAATTACGGAGCGGACAAGTTATGGGGAGGGACTCATCTCGACTTCGCGTGTTGCTCTGCCTGTTTATCCTGAGATCTCTAAACTAGGCGCTGTTCTGTATGTTACCGTGGTTCAATCGGATACCTCCGGCCCACACCAACCACCCACTGCTGACAAGCTCCCCAGAATTCATCTCCCTCACACCCACACCCAACCCCCCTGTTTTCCCAGAAACTTCCACGAGGCCGGAAATACATCACCTGACACGCCGCACGGCCAATGCCCCATAATCGAATCGCCAGCATAACCGGGACATGGTTGTGTGACGTTGTGCGTCCGATCGCGAACCCCCTGAGGTGATAATCCCGCGTGGCATGCGAGGGCGAACCTCGATCAAAATCCCCGCCATACGATAGTCGTTAATTCTTTGTCGCGTCCGTGGACTGATAAACACGCTACACTATTGCCGTCGCCATGTCGTCCATGCGAGGGCTTGTGCAGTTCATTGCTGATCTGCGGAATGCCCGCGCTAGAGAGCTCGAAGAGAAGCGCGTGAATAAGGAGCTCGCCAACATTCGGCAGAAGTTCAAGTCTGGAAGTCTGAATGGTTACCAGAAGAAGAAATACGTTTGCAAATTGCTCTACGTTTACATTCAGGGTTACGATGTGGACTTCGGCCATCTCGAGGCTGTTAACTTGGTCTCATCGCCCAAGTACTCCGAGAAGCAGATCGGATACTTGGCTGTCACATTGCTTTTGCACGAAGAACATGAGTTGCTTCATTTGGTTGTCAACAGTATTCGGAAGGATCTGCTCGATCATAATGAATTGAATAACTGCCTGGCCCTGCATGCCGTCGCGAATGTCGGCGGTAAAGAGCTTGGAGAAGCACTCGGCTCTGAGGTTCACAGGCTGCTTATTTCGCCGTGAGTTTGGGACCTTCCTTGTTCTGGTTATGATTATCCTAAGATTTCCTAGAACCTCCAAAGCTTTCGTCAAAAAGAAGGCTGCTTTAACGTTACTTCGGTTGTACCGCAAATACCCCGGCATCGTGCGAAACGAATGGGCCGAAAGAATCATATCGATCATGGATGACCCTGACATGGGAGTAACGCTCTCTGTCACCTCTTTGGTCATGGCACTAGCTCAGGACTTGCCAGAGGAATACAAAGGCTGTTATGTCAAGGCTGCGCAGCGGTTGAAGCGGATCGTGGTTGACAACGAAATCGCACCGGACTACCTCTACTACCGCGTACCGTGTCCATGGATTCAGGTTAAGTTCTTGCGCCTGTTACAATATTATCCTCCATCACGTAAGTCTATTGCCGTGGTAACTTATAACTCGGTTTCTCACATACAATTACAGAGGACAGCCATGTTCGCGAGATTATTAGAGAGTCTCTCTCTCAGATGATGCTAGCTGCAATGGAAACACCCAAGAACGTCCAGCAGAACAATGCCCAAAACGCCATTCTCTTCGAAGCCATCAACCTCCTCATCCACCTCGACTCTGAGCACAATCTCATGATGCAAATCTCCACCCGCTTAGGCAAATACATTCAATCTCGGGAGACCAACGTTCGATACCTTGGTCTGGATGCGCTGACCCATTTCGCCGCTCGAGCTGAAACCCTTGACCCGATTAAAAAGCACCAGAACATCATCCTGGGCTCGCTTCGAGACCGCGATATCAGTGTTCGTCGCAAAGGATTGGACCTGTTGTACAGTATGTGTGATACCAGTAATGCCGGCCCCATTGTCAACGAGCTTCTGCGATACCTGCAGACCGCCGATTATGCCATTCGAGAGGAAATGGTACTCAAGGTCGCCATTCTGACCGAGAAATATGCCGCCGATGCACAGTGGTACATCGATATGACATTAAAATTGCTCTCATTGGCAGGTGAACATGTCAACGACGAAGTATGGCAACGAGTGATTCAGATCGTGACCAACAACGAAGAACTACAAGCCTATGCAGCACACACCTTGCTGGGCTACATGAAGTCCGATTGCCATGAAAGCTTGGTGAAAATCGGCTGCTACGTCTTGGGCGAGTACGGCCACCTCATCGCCGAAAATGCAGGCTCAAGCCCAATTGAGCAATTTATGGCCCTACAGGCCAAGATGTTCTCCAGCTCCGACAACGCGCGCGCCATGATTCTTTCGTCCTTCGTCAAGTTCGTGAATTTGTTCCCCGAAATCAAACCCCAGCTCTTGCAAATCTTTCGCCTGTACAGCCATTCTCCCGATTCCGAACTGCAGCAACGAGCATTTGAGTACCTGTCGCTGGCTACTCTCCCGACCGACAATCTGCTGCGAACGGTCTGTGATGAGATGCCGCCCTTCTCGGAGCGAACCTCCATTCTACTTTCTCGGCTGCACCAGAAGACAGCCGGTGCAAGTGAGAAGAAGACCTGGGTTATCGGTGGAAAGGATGCGAATGCGGATAAGCAGGAAATGCTCTTGGCACAGAACACCGGTCTCAAGCGCACCTTCACGACAATCGTTAATGGCACACGCACTGGATCCGTTAGTAATCCAGCCAGCCCAGCAAGCGCACCCAATGCAGTCAGTGCATCGGGCGACTTGGCAGGCCTGGATCTCAGCGGCCCATCAGCCCCAGCCCCCAACATGGCCAGTGCCGCTCATCTTACCCCAGAATGGGACATCGGCTACAACCGACTGTTCTTCTTGCGTGAGGGTGTGCTCTTCGAAGATGCACAGATCCAAGTCGGACTGCGCTCGGAGTACCGCGGTCCTATGGGTGTCGTGAAAGTTTACATCTCGAACAAGTCCACGTACCCCATCGGGTCTCTTACCACTACCATCGATAACCCGGCCTCCCCTCAATTGAAGATCGACACGAGGAACCTGCCCGAACCAACCATCCCGGCTGCCGGACAGACGCAGCAGACTCTGTTCTGCACTGCGCACGGCCCCTTCACAGAGGCGCCTACCATCCGTATTTCATACTTGGCCGGTGCTCTCCAGGCTTACACACTCCAGTTGCCTGTCCTGATGCACCGTTACATGGAATCCTCGTCTCTTTCGGCCGAGGAATTCTTTAAGCGATGGCGCCAGATTGGCGGTGGACCGCTGGAATCCCAAAAGACCTTTGGCTTGCTAGGTAAAAGCAAGACAGCCAACGAGAAATTCACTCGGAGGATTGTCGAGGGATTCGCATTCAAGATTCTGGATGGGGTCGATCCAAACTCTCAAAACATTGTTGGTTGTGCTGTGTACCAATTCGAGGGAGGTAAGACCGGCTGTCTGCTGCGGCTGGAGCCCAACTACGAGAAGAAGGTATGCATCAGCAGTGGTTTATGTTCTTTGTTCTTTGGGTATCGTCACGCTAACTCTTTCGCTCAGATGTACCGTGTCACAGTTCGTGCGACCCAAGAAGAGGTCCCGCAGTCACTGGTTAGACAGATGCAAGTGAAGCTGGCGCAGGGCATGAGAGCAGACGAAGTCTTTGATTAGGCGTCTGCAGGTGACAAGGAAGTATTCATGTATATCTCTGACTGAATAACCACGTTAAAATACTAGCAAGTTCCTGTGGAACAATCACATCCCTCGCATGTGTAAATCCTTGCCCGCAAAGTCACTATAGAAATCCTTTTTACATAGGGTGCATCTAATGCTCAGCATTCTCAGTGGGTCATACCACCTGAAGCCCCAATCCTTTTGAAATCTAATCTTCACGCAATCGTAAATCATAACCACCCCAGCCCTCAAGCTCAAACGACACTGGCCTCCGCCTTGGGCGGTCGATCCCCAAAGATCGTAGTCCCAACGCGAACCTGATCACTACCAAGAGCGATCGCCCCTTCAAAATCGGAGCTCATCCCCATACTTAGTTCCAACCCAGCCTCATCCCCAACCAATCCAAGCTCCTTTACTACCCGATCCCTCGTCTCCCTCAAACAAACAAAATCCTCATTCTCATTCTCCACCGTCGTCACCTGCGATCTGGCAATAGCTCCAATAGTCATGAGACCCTGCAACTGAAGCCGGGGACACTGCTCACGAACATATCGACAGAGCGCCGCCGCCCCAGCAGGCTCAACACCAGCCTTATTCTCCTCGCCAGACGTATTGATCTGGATATAGATCCGCAGCTTCCCATCCTCCTCGTGGTTGGTAGCTGCCATCGCAGAACCCCTCTCGCTCCAACCTTTATCCAGCAGTTTCGCCTTCTTCTCCGAGTCCACGCTCTCGACTGCCCACAGCCCGCGCACGTCCCGTGCAAGCGTCACACACTTGTTGCTCTGCAGCCCACCGATGAAGTGCCATTTGATGGTTGCGGGTAGCAGCCGCGATTTCTCGAGTAGTTCTTGAAGGTAGTTCTCTCCGAAGTGGAGTTGCGCCCCTGGAGCTTGGTGCAGGGCTAGGGCGTCGGATGCGGGCTTGAGTTTAGAGACGGCGACGAGTCGGATTGGTTTACTAGGAATCGGGGATTGGAGGACAGCGGTATTCACTCGCGCACGTACAGCGGTTAGGTTTGAGAGGAGTGTGCTGACGCGCGCTGGTGTTGCTGGGGTCATTGCTTGGGGTTCGGGTGGTGTGTTGGCTGTCATTGCACACTGGGTGGGGTTGTTGGTGTTGGTTGTGATTGTTGATGTCGATGGGGGTTGGTTGAGGCGATGTGCTCCTTTTAACAATTTGTCATTGGGAGATTCGAGGTTGAGGATGGAGCATGGATTGCAATGATGTGCTCAGTCAATTGAGTTACGGTAAATCAAATCCGAGCTCTGGAAGGTGGAATTTCCATGACAGCCTCAGGCAACAATTTCCTGGGAGAGCATTCCGGCCCACGTGACTGTGACATCCACTCTCCCCAACAAAATGGTAGGGCCTAATATCCTTCGTACTCCAACTCCATACATGCAGCTGCAAAAAATAACCCGTATGTTATCTTGTCCTACTGTTCTTTTGGCCTAGTTAGCGGTTAAAAAATGCTCTAATGTAATCTATCAGTAGCGGCCTGATTTGCCTACGGGATTACTCAAGGGGCTTACGCCTCACACGTTGTTAAACTTTTTTTCCGTTTGCGTCTTTGACGATTTGATCATTGACGGTGAGATCATCTATCTCGATCTAAGAAGGTCAACTGACTTGTAAACTCAATTCTGTCTCGGCGCGAGGATTCAGTCGGCCAGTAATCCCGAACATCCTGGCGGCAAGCCAAACAGCCCTCTGCTCCAATCATATGTTGTAGATGCTGCGTGTCCAGAGATGAGAATGCGGAGCGCCCGGGTATGAGCGGATCCCTCAAGTTCGTATCAACCTGTCAGACTGGCTCTCGGCTGGTCTTGTCGATCAGATTGTCGCCGTTGAGTTTCAAACTACGGAGTAATGCATTTTTGGATCTTCCTCTCTATTTTAAATATTTTCTACATTTTCTACATTTTCTACATTTTCTTTCCGACACTGCCTTTGTTGACCCTGTTGAAACAGAACCATAACCGCCTTGTGTGTGTGTGTGTGTTTGTTTTTTTTTTTTAAATTCTTCGTTGAAAACCCATCCTATTTTCATTGCCCCAGCACTGCACTCTGTCCCACTCAGAGCCAAGTTTGCTGCATCAATTCTCAATGAAGAGTAGCTGGTGAATAGTATTCGAGACTGCCTGCCCAGGAGTAAAATTAGTAGTTCCAGATCCTATCGCGCCCTCGAGAATACGACTTGGTGGCAGATGTAACCTGCAGCTCTATCCGACGGATGGGGTAAGGTCTAGGTAAGGTATAAGCCCATTATTAACACAATTATAAATATATATTCATGGGCCAGAATGAAAGGAAAGGGTTTCTTTGACGTCAGCTCCAATCAATAGCCGTGGTTCCCCTCAGAGACTCGGTCAATGACCATTCATTCATCATTACAGTAGGCAGCCCAGAAGAACTTAAGAGCTTCTTGTCTGGTCGGTAGATCCGATCCTCGGCATTTTCACCTCTTTTCAGATCATCACGGCTCATTTCAGCTGGTCTCATTTCAGCTGGTCTAAACAAGCCTTGCAAATTTCTTGAGCATCTTGATATCAGTTACAAAGCATACTTCTCAGGGCTTTCCGGTCCGGCTTAGTAGCTACGCCGGAAACCATCTACACACCATTGGGCATTTGACATCCTCATTACCTTGTCAATACATCGATATCTATCTCACAAGTACTCTGTTCAACGCGTTCTGAAATTACGACAAAATCTATCTTATCGTCCATCGTCCATCAACTATCAACTATCAACACACGCTGCGGATACCTGCCGGGCACCCCGCAACAGTCAACAGTCAACTGCAACTACAACGTTGGAAGAAAAGCATCCCACAACAGCAATCATGTGCCGTCAATATTTTACACTCTACGAATGGTGTCAATGTGAAGAAGACGCCGGCAACAGCGTCTGTGCCGCCCACCGTCGGAACGGCTGCCCCGGTGTCAGCGTTGAAACCGTTCACATGCACTGCTTCTGCAACTCGCATGCCACGCATGGCTTCAAGTCTGAGAAGGAGACCCGCAAAAAGGAGAACAAGATGCGCCGCCGATCAGAAGATTCCTTTGGTGAGAAAGATTCTTTGGGGCGCCGTTGGTATCAGTGGTATCAATGGCGGGGTCTGCGGTCGCGTTGAGGTATGACATTTACAATTCTTGTATTCTCCGTTCTTTGTTTTATTTTTTTTCTTTCATTTAACAGCTCTGGCGTTTGTGGGAATTGGAGATCTCGGTTTGGATCTAGGGGAAAAATGGAATTCTGCGGGTTTCACGATATTCCATCACGTGGATGATCTAAATGATGTGCATAAGATTTGATTCCTCATTTTATTGGATTTTCATCTAATTTTTTGGGGGGGGGGTGTGTCAACTTCTATATCAGAGACGAGTTTTAATAGCATGAAGCATAACTATGGATTGTTACAAAAGTCATCAACAAAGAGAAGATACCCTAACCGTCACAATAAGAACCAAGTCAAAAGAAGATCAAAGATCAAATTCCAAAAAAAAAACAAAACACCTCCCATCCCTGTGTAAACAATGGCCAATATAAAAATGTATTAGAATGTATCCCGTATGTCGTTGTTCTATGGTCTGGTGATTGACCAAACCCCTACCCCATGTGGCTTAAAGCATGTGAATCCCCACCCTTTCTTTGTCTCTTTGTTTCTTTTGTTGCCCCTTCCCTATTCATCAAACCTCAACCTATCATCTATTGCATTTCATTTTGTAATGAACGAGAAGAAACCTTGTGTGCCCTTGGTAGCAGAGTCGATACCTGCCAGATGGAATACAAGCTCCCCTCCACTCAGGAGGACCCGCCAATAGGGGACAATGGCGTTAAGAACAACAATACCGATGAGGCGCATAAGGAATTAATCGATTCTCTGAATCGCCTGACTTTGGCGACAGCGACTCCATTGCCTTCATCACCTGGTTTTCCCCCTGTGCCTTCCTATGCCCCCTCTAGATCTGTTCGAGCCACTCGACCTGTACCTGCTACTCCTCAGCAGCCTAACCAATCTGTTCGAGCTGTCTCTTTACAATCAAATCAGCCTGTGCGATCTGTCTCACGAATGGCCGGTTCTGTTTCTGTTCGAGACGAACGACGTGGGTCAATTGTACAACTACAAAAGCGCAAGTCCGCTGTATCTCTTCGTTCGGTCTCACAACCGCTCAAAGCATCATCTCCAACTCCTGACCCTTCACGCCGCACATCATCTATCTCTGCGGGGTCTCCAGCCACTGCAACATCGCCCGCGATGCATCTCGCACGGCTTGTCTCCAGCCCGGCTCCAGAGGCTCCAATTCTGACTGCTTCGTCTATCGCTGCTGAGCACTTCTCAAAAGAGCTTGAACTACACCGATCTGGTGGTGTCAGTACGAAAACTGCTGTTGTTGTCCATGACGACTGTTATGGCCATCGTTACTCCCAGCTAGCAGCGCCGAAACGAACTATCGAGAGCATTGTCGAACGACCGGAGCGCATACGCGCCTGCGCTGTAGGCATCTCTGCAGCGTATGTTCTCCTCGGGTCCCGATATGCGGAAGATCTCGCACTTAAACCAAGGTCGAGATTGAACAAGCCTGATGTTCCTTTTCAAATTATCAGGACTGATCGCAAGGTGCATTTGTCCGATGCTGCTGTGACGAACGTTCATGGAACCCAATGGATGTCAGAATTGAAATGGATGGGGGACCATGCAGAGTCCCGACTCATCGCAGATGGAAACGAACTGGCCAGAAAACGGATGGCAGAAGGTGACGGCCTCGGGACGAATGGTCCCGCTCTGAATGCCGGCGACCTCTACTTATGCTCAGAGTCTGTGAATGCCTTTGAAGGAGCGCTAGGGGGGATCTGCGAGGGCGTGGATCTTGTTTTCAAGTCTGGTCCAATCCAGCGTGCATTCGTCTGCATTCGGCCTCCCGGGCACCATTGTTCAGCTAACTTCCCTTCCGGCTTTTGCTGGGTCAACAACGTTCATGTCGGAATTTCACACGCAGCAACCACCCACGGTCTTACCCACGCGGCCATTCTTGACTTCGATCTTCACCATGGTGATGGGTCTCAGGACATTGCATACGATCACAACTCCAAATTACTTAACAAAACACAACGGGCCGACTTGGCTGGAGTCAATGCCGCAAAATTCAAGGAATATCAAGATGCTCCTCCATACACCAAAGCAGCAATTGGCTACTACAGCTTGCATGATGTGAACTCTTTTCCTTGCGAGAATGGCGAACGCGACAAAGTCATGGGTGCCAGCCTCTGTGTCGATGCACACAATCAGTCTATTTGGAACGTTCATCTCGAAAAATGGGCCGATCTCGACGGGTTCTGGAAATTGTACGAGACAAAATACAACGCACTGCTCATCAAAGCCCGGTCATTCCTTCGCCAACGCACGATCGACCTCAACCAGGAACGACAAGAAAATCCAAGTGCTCCACCGCCCAAGGCAGCAATCTTTATCTCGGCCGGGTTTGATGCCAGCGAGTGGGAAGGCGACGGCATGCAACGCCACGGTGTGAATGTACCGACTGAATTCTACGCCAGGTTCACCGCGGATATCATCCGCATGTCGCAAGAGGAGGGCCTCGGTGTGGAAGGGCGCGTCATCAGCGTCCTGGAGGGCGGCTACAGTGACCGCGCGTTGTCCTCCGGTGTGCTCAGTCATCTGTCAGGTCTGAGTGAGAAATCAGCGGTCAAAAGTGAGTGGTGGTCTCCAGATAATCTGAGTGAATTAGATGCCATCATAGCGGCTCCAACGCCCAGCAAAGGGCGCAAGAAGAGTGCCGCCACCTACCTGACAGCCACCAAATCCTTCGCAGCAAAGATCGTCGCGCCCGGGAGAGACCGGAAGTCCACCGAGGACTTCGATGCCAACATCGTCGCTGCCCCTTTGCCAGAAGTGAGTTGGGAAGTGGCCACGGGTGAGCTCTCGAAACTCATCATCCCCGATGGCCGCCAGACCCTGAGCTGCCGGCCGGCGGAGCTGAACCGCCAGCGGCGAGAGCAGAGCGCACAAAATGGAGGTCTCGATCTCCTCATCGGCGTCGAGAAGGGGCGCCAGCTGCGCTCGCGCAAGTCTAAGGAGTCGACCCCCATGCCCACCACTTCTCGCCCTGCCACCCCTCTCCCTGCCACCCCACGACGCCAGCCCCACAAGGGCCCGAAGACCACCGTTGCCGCCACAACCCTCCCCGCTGCCTCATGCGAGGCTTCCCCGTCTGTAGGTGCCTCCCGTCGAAAGAGCATCAGTCAGACGCGCGCGGGAACTCCACACCGGGCTGTCAGCCCCCTGAACCTCCCCCCAGTTCCACACATCTCGACTTCCGTGGGGGGAGTCAGGGGCGGCCCCCGGATAATTCTCAACATGCCAGCGCGGGGAACCCGGTCGTGACCGCAAGTTGTCCGGCGGTGCGCTGGTCGAGGTTTTTAAGGTCCCCTAAGAAGGGAAAGAAGAAGCGTGAGAGCGCCTCCGGAAGCTCGGCTGCTTCCGCCAGCAGTTCTCCCGTGATCGCGGCCAAGGATGCCGTGATGGAGGATGCATAGTGCGGCAGGCATGATTTTTTGTTCTTGTCTTTTTACACATATTAGCTCGATACCCTAGCTGACTTTTGTAGAATTCTTTGTTCAATTTCTCTAAGCTTTTGTTGTCATTTGTAGACCTTGTAGGCTGTGATATTAGATGACGACATTCAGGAACACAACCCTTCCGTTCTCTTGTCGTCAGGTTATGGACTCCAAAATAGTACTGGATGGTATGGACGGGACTGCAGTGTCTGATGCCCTCTTAATTTGACCTCGTTATTACCAAGGCTGTCAGATTTGAGGTCAATGTAATGAACTGTTCCTGCTTTTATGTCAGACGCAGAATTCCATCAAAAAAAAAATTCAACATTGCTGCGGGCTCATACCTATAACAACTGTACCTACACTAAGTCAGTCTCTGAGACCATCGAGTGAAAAATGGACTTCGACGAATTCACTCAGCTTTCTCCGTTAAATGGAACGGCTACAAACCAAGCTGGATCACAGAAATCGACCGTGTTGATGAATTTGAAGTGAAGATTGGCCGCAGCCTTAAAATCCTCCGTCTTACCACTGCCGCCAATAGATGGCCACGATCTCCAACAAGAATACTCCGAGCTTTAGAGTCGCCATAGGTGAAAGTGTAGTCCAGTGAGAGTATTTTGCTTTTGCTAAAGCTTGGATGTACTCTGCGGTTGAATCGAAGCCGTGTCCAGAGGCAAGGCACATGAGATGAACATGGAGCCCATTCTTATCTGTGAATGGGTCCATATTATGATTAGGTACTCTTGAACTCCGTAACAAGGTGCCTATCACCGAGCAAATATTGTGTGCACAGGGTGAGGACGCAGTACGCATACACCCCATGCATTTTTTGAGTTCGAAAAGCAACGGATCTTCTAGGTCAAACCGTGAACGGTCCACTGAGTTCTCAAGTGGTAATCCCGGAAATCTTGTCATCAAGATCGAGAAAACACGACTTAAGGGCATATAAGCTTGTTCCCCGCAAGATAAAACTTCGGGAATAGGCCTTCCGACAGCTCTCGTCATCTTCATCGCGGCGGCCTCCACTAAACTCATTCAATCTGTCCATTATAGGGCTGAATCAACCGGCAACCGTTCAATGCGTGCGCCCAAAGGTATGTTGAACTATGAACAGTACCAACCTGAAAATTGGTATAATATCTCATGGAAGACACCAAACACCCTGTGTATTCCTCTGGATGCCGTAGGTTGGTAAGGCAGGGGGCAGTTGTCACAGCCTGATACAGTCAGAGGTAGCACATATCGACGAGTGTACGAATTGGAAAGGGGACAAGGGGGAGGGTAATACTCGCTGGTGGGGACGGTGCTCCTTCCAGAAAGATGGGTTTGATTACCTCATCGGGCCACCGTTCCAGGGTTCCGAGCAAGGTTAATTTAGACACGCAGGTTCGGACGGAAGGAGGGTCTACATTCCTGCACATGCGGCGGGTAAAGATAGGGCTTGGTAAGATGTTGCGGTAGGACTCCTACCGTAGGAGTTGAGACGAATTCGATTAAGCACAACGTCAACCCCTCGTAGGACTGTAATCTATCCAATTTTCGTCTGAAGTGAAATAAGTTACAACATGGTATAATATCACGATTTGAGAAAATTCCTGATTTTTCAGATGTTTTCTTTCCATGTTTCCTGTGTCATGTACAACATACACAGTAATGTGAGCAGAATGAAAGCAGCTTGAAACAAAATCGAGAAGTACCAAATAAAAGGCCGTTATTCCATCAAATGGGCCTGTGGTTTAGGGGTATAATACCCGCTTCGCACTAATACAGTGACTTGCGGGGGGTCCCGGGTTCAATTCCCGGCGGGTCCATTTCTTTTTTTTGGCATTTGTTTTTTTGGGTTCTTTGAGAGAACAGCTAGTTTACCCTCCATGTTTTGGTCTTTGCGTGAGGTTGATCCTTTAATAGTGGATAAAGTTGGAATCAACTCTGTGGTGTATAGTGAAAAGATACTTATGTTTCCTTGGTGTTGGGTTTCCTAGTTTTACGCAAAACATGTTGAACAATATACTACCAAAAGCAATATACTAAAGAGCATGTAATACCATAGGATTCTTCCACGAGGGATATGAATTGGAATAGTAAAACCCATCTGTCCATCTGCTTCGCGCCAGGGGATGAAGCCATAAATTTGGTTTCAATTCCACCCCTGTACTACATAGATCCATCTACCCCCTCACTAGCTGTTAATATGTTGGTAACAAAAATTGGGCAGTGGAATCAGGAGAAAATAAGCTCAAAGAGCGGTGTTAGTACCGAGTACTAGATTCCTCCAAATTCCATTGACTAAATGTGGCCTGAATTGAAATGCTATCCATGGACATAGGATACTCGACTTTGTACGGCGAAATATGTGATAGAGGCGTCAGACTGCGTCGACGGCACTAATCCCGATTCTGTGGGAGTTCTGTATCCGGAATTTGGCGTATGCATAGAGCGATGTAAGTATAAAAATCAAATAGGGTTTAGCGTTGAATGAGACCCATTTTTATGTGAATTATGAAGAATTAACTTGGGTTTTCGGCAAACCATACGTTGACATTACATGTGCACATTCTTCGGGATATAAACAACGTGTTTCTATATATGCCCTAATACTTCTGCGGCGGCAACCGGTTTAACCCGATGAATCTCGAACCCACCCTCGTCTCTATCCTCGCCTTTCTGAGGCCACAGGATCTGCCTCGTCAAACTGGCCCGAACCATCATGTAGCACACAAAGAAGTACATCAGCAGCAACGGTAGTATCGCCGCACACCCAACGATTTCAATAGGCTTACAGGAGAATGCCCTGCCAATAGCAAAGGTAGCGGTAATCAAGGCGGTATTAGGAAAGACAAATGAGAACCAGGTCATAGAAAAGACCATACGCCCATGCCCAATAGCCGACCAATGTGCTGCGCTTGCAACAATGAAAAAAAAGATGGCCAACCTAGGGAAGAGTTAGCCACGTAGACACAAATGATCGGAGAGTAGAACATACCCCCAAAGCCAAAGACATGAAAAATTAGCAACAATCTTAAACACATCGGCAGCCAGCGCCCCATTGCCCATGAAATCAGCCGGAAACGACCTCTTCGCCCCAGCCGCCATATTCACCAGCCCGGCAACCGTAAACCCGCTCGGTCCCACAGAAACAAACATGCCAGGACGGATATTTTCCCGCGGGAGCTTCTGCGTCATCAGTCGGTAAATGAAGGCCGAGTAAACCATCAACGAAACCAAAAATCCAACTCCCTGGATAGTCATGCCGCCAATTATAACCCGTAGAGAACGAGACGGTTCCAGCTTTGCACTGAGGATCCCAGCATGTGGGCCAATGATGAGCATTGGATAAGCAGGAAAAATCCAGATAGGAGTCATCTGCGCGATGGTGAATGTCTGCGTCGACCAAAGGAGAAGGTAGATGCCAGCCGAGAATATCACAGCCAGAGTGGCATCGATCCAAAATAAAATACAGACTGCGCGCATCAACCACGGACCTGTATTTTCGGGCCCGTATTGCGACACGTTGATTAAAATTGTGCCGAAGGATACTATCGATGCGGGCACGAAGAGTGATTCTGTTGGATGCCTGAATGACGCCTTGAATGTATACGGATAATGATAGAACCGAACAAGCAGGAGAGCCCAGATGATGAGATACAAAGCAATGTTGAGCAGGAAGACAGCGATCCCAACCGAATCCAAGCCCTTGAATCGAAATGGAACTGATTCTAGTTAGCAATGTGCAACCGAACAGAAGGAGATCGATCATGCGCACCTTGATATAAGACATTGGCCAGCCCACCCGTAGCCATCGTCAACGTAAAATAAGCCCACGTAACATGGCGAATGCGTTTCTTCCAGCTCAACTCGCCAGAAACCGTGGGTTTGAGCCCAAACAGGCTCAGCCCGTTATACTCCCGGCACGCACCGGCTTTCTTATCCGGGTTTGTATCTACAGTAGCCCGCGACGATGCTAGCTGCATTGCAGCCTCCAAGGCAGTCGAATGAGCACCGCAAACTCCGCCACCGGGGTACTCTTCAACGGCTCCAAAAGTTGAGAGAGCCCGCTCAGCATCTTCTATCGTTGGCGTTCGGTACCCGTCTTCGCCAGGACTTCGCATGTACCGAGGTATATCAGGTTCGCCCGCCATCACTGACTACTGCAGTTCCCCTCAACGTGCGATCAAAAGGCGGAATGAAAGCGAGGATATCTTAGACGGTTCCCCTCTCTTTTGGGATTTCTATTGTGCTGCTTGCCTGCGGATGGTGGTATGGGCGACAGTAGATGCGATACCACAAATTAACAAAGACGATAGCATGGGTAAAGAAGACAGTGTGTAATTATGGGTTGGATGAAACTCTTGACTTGATAGCAATCGCAGCCAAGAATCTCTGTAGAGAATAACAGTCGGGTCGTTGGGTTGAGAATCCAGGGGGATTAATGTGGGGACCGATGGCACGAATCTACCAGTGGCAATGGCAAACAGACCATCAATATTATACTACACAGAATGTTGTAAATAGCTGAAGGTTTGGTGCATCGATAGTTTTGATGTCGTTAGATCCCGTTTTCGGCACTCGAACATCACATACTAAGTAGTTATTCGGCACAGATAGGACGGTGTTGGTTGTATTGGTAATCGGCACGCGTCCTCCGCCACTAGACGCTTTCGTTTATACCGTCCATTTATGAGGACTTGTCATGTTTGAACAGTATCCTTGTCTTCAATCATCTCCATTGTGTTGCTTCGAGAGATGAGCAATGTAACCAGGTACGTGGATTCTCGGGGATATGTTTGAGATTGCGGAAAGCTCTAGGCTTTTTTTTTGGTGGAGTAGATTATTTCAAGCTGTTTTCCAATTTGTTAAAACGCAGTCCAGATCATATCTCCCAGCCACGTTTTATACTGTAAAAAAACCAAACAGGCAATAGGGCTTAGGGCTCAGTGTCATGCGCGGCTGTTTGATCTCCACTTGCCTGCGAGATGTACATGCCGTAGCAAGCTGTTTTATTTCATCATATAACTAGCTACAGTTTTACTATATAAATAAATTTGCTTCAGTCCATAATACTGCACCTCAAACATGTCGGGAATAACAGACATTCGCAGATCGGTGCTCATCACGGGGTAGGCTGCACGCGACTTTGGATATATATCGCCCACAGCGTCTGACACATACCGTAGATGTTCTCCAGGCGGAATTGGCAATTCCCTTGCGCGCGAGTTCAACCGAAATGGACTACGCGTGCTGGCCACCGCTCGTGATGCGGCGAGCATCTCTGATCTGGCAGACCTCGGTATTGAAACCTTGAGCCTTACAGTTGATGATCCGGAGAACGTGAAATCGTGTTTTGCGGATGTCGAAAAGAGGCTCGGAGACCAAGGTCTTGATTATCTTGTTAATAATGCGTGAGCTTCCGTTGACCTTTTTATCCGTGGACGGTATCTCCAGCTAATTTCCAACAGTGGTCGGAGTATGTAACTTCACTCTCGCGACTTCTGGCGTCAGTTGTTTGAAGTAGGTACTGATTACTGCAGATTATACCGTCCCAGCGATGGAAGTAGAGCTCTCCGAGGTTCGCCAAACGTTTGAGACCAACCTTTTCGCGGTCATTACAATGTGCCAGACTTTCCTGCCCTTACTTATCAAGGCGAAGGGTACTATTGTACAAATTGGATCCGTCGCTGGGGTAAGTTTGAGGTATATCCATCTTCGCAGATCCTATGTTACTGACAATCACCAGATCATCCCATATGTATTCGGTTCTGTCTACAACGCCTCTAAAGCAGCACTGCACTCGTTTAGTGACACGCTTCGCGTGGAGCTGGCACCATTTGGGTTCGTTAGATACGACCCCTAAAATATAAGATCATAATGTTGTGTTTTCTAACTATGATCAACAGCGTCCATGTTACAACCATTGTTACCGGCGGTGTTCAATCGCGCATTGCACGTACCGACCGTGCTCTGCAGCCGGGTTCCTTGTATTCCCCTATCGAAACTGAGTTTCTTACTCGTTTGAAGCATAGCCAGCACAACGCTATGCCGAATGATGCCTATGCTCGCAGTGTCGTTTCTCAAGTGTTGTATGGCTCAGCTCCATGGCGCTGGTTGTGGCCGTGGGCTCGTGGTCGCAAGGCCTGGATCTGGGAAGGTCGTGCTAGCTGGTTGATCTGGATGTTGTCGGGAGGCTGGGCTTGGTCGGGGCTGTTTGGTCGGGTCATGACTAAAATGTTTAAGCTGTGGAAGATCAAAAATGCCTCGGGCAAATAAGGAGGGGGGGGGGGGGGGGGAGTCTTGATGTATTTGAGGTGTGAGTTCAGTCACTAGAATATAGTAATGAAGAACAAGACTTGGGACAAACGCGCTTAATAAAGAATAAGTACAGACATAACAAGTAAAAGGAACCAAAATGTAACTGAAAAGAGAAGTACCGACGTTGATAGCCATGTTCCGTTATATTCGCGTTGTCCCCGAATAGATGCTGAGTCAGGTCAGTAGCGACCGCTGGTTGGCTACGGCACCCGATTTTACCGCAATGCAAAGGTCACCCCGAAAGCAAGTGAAAAAGAAAGCTGTTCTCCTAGTCTACCAACTATCTAAACGGGCTTTATATCTTCGCCCTTCTACAAATCTCCCCCTCTCCACTCTCATTCTGATTCATCATGTTCAAGCTTGCTCGCGGTAGACCCGTTGTAGCGGCCTTTAAAGCTGCGACAGTGAGTTATATCTTCGATCGGGTCGCGCTCGTTTTATGGGATTGAGCTGACTTTGGCTATGAACAATAGCAACCCTCCATTCAGAGCAGACTCGCTTTGCAGAAGCGCAACCTTTCTATCCACGAGTACCTTTCCGCAAGGCTCCTTAAGTCGGTACGTGCACTCGCGTTGCACCCTACAGTCGCCCGAAAAAAAAAAACAGGAACTCGGGGTCGCTGATCAACAATCTAGTACGGTGTCGGTGTCCCCAATGGTGAGGTCGCCAATACTGCCGAAGAGGCCGAGGCTATTGCCAAGTCCATCGGTAAGAACAACCCTGCTGAGTTTTCTCCTTGGAACACACTCGCTGAACATCATATTCCAGGTGGTGGTGATCTCGTTATCAAGGCTCAGGTCCTCGCCGGTGGCCGTGGTAAGGGTCAATTCGACAATGGTCTCAAGGGTGGTGTCCGTGTCATTTACTCGTGAGTTGAAAAAATTCCAGAACACATCTGGATTCCTGAAGCTGACAGATATATCTACAGTCCCACCGAGGCCAAGATGTTCGCTGGCCAGATGATCGGTCACAAGCTCGTTACCAAGCAGACCGGCGCTGGCGGCCGTATCTGCAACTCGGTCTACATTTGTGAGCGCAAGTTCGCCCGCCGTGAATTTTACCTCGCTGTTCTCCTTGACCGTACCACCCGTGGTCCCGTCATCGTTTCATCCTCCCAGGGTGGTATGGATATCGAGGCCGTCGCCAAGGAGAGCCCCGACGCTATCACCACCACCCCCATCGATATCCACGTCGGTGTGACTGATGAGATCGCCCGTACCATCGCCACCGACCTTGGTTTCTCTGAGCAGTGCATCGAGGAGGCCAAGTCCACTATCCAGAACCTCTACAAGTGCTTCATGGAGCGCGATGCTACCCAGCTCGAGATCAACCCCCTGTCTGAGACCTCCGATCACCAGGTCTTGGCTATGGACGCTAAGCTTGGATTTGACGACAACGCCGAGTTCCGTCAGAAGGAAGCCTTCTCGTGGCGCGATGTTTCCCAGGAGGATGCCGACGAGGTCAAGGCCGCTGAGTAGGTTGCCCTACCGAGAAAAAAGGTGAAAGAAACATTGACTGATTTATATCTTTTTCTAGGCACGGTCTTAACTTCATCAAGCTTGATGGTGACATCGGCTGCCTTGGTAAAGATCCTGTGAATTCTTCAAAAGTACATCGCAATGCTAACTCTTGGTTTTAGTCAACGGTGCCGGTCTTGCCATGGCCACCATGGATATCATCAAGCTTAACGGCGGTGCCCCCGCTAACTTCCTCGATGTCGGCGGTGGTGCCACCCCCGCTGCCATCAAGAGCGCCTTCGAGCTGATTACCAGCGATCCCAAGGTGTCCGCCGTCTTTGTTAACATCTTCGGTGGTATCGTCCGCTGTGACGCCATTGCCCAGGGTTTGATCAACGTTGTTCAGGAGATGAACCTGCGCACTCCTATCGTCGCCCGTCTGCAGGGTACCAACATGGAGCAGGCCCACAAGCTGGTATGATTACAGACCCGGTCTTTCCCTTGCTGGCCATGCTTTGAACTAACCACATCTCTTACTTTTTAGATCAACGACTCCGGCCTTAAGATCTTCTCCATCGAGGACCTCCAGAACGCTGCCGAGAAGTCTGTCCAGTTCTCCAAGGTCGTCAAGATGGCCCGCGAGATCGACGTCGGTGTTGAATTCACCCTCGGTATCTAAAAGGGTGATTACCTTTTTTGGTTATAATGATAGAGAGGGTAGGGAGCATTTTCATTTGCCTTTTTCCTGGGGCTAGCGAACTGAACCGAACCGCCGCAGTGACATCTTAGAGAGATCTTTGTAATGCTTTTGCGCCTGGTCCTGTGTCATTTATTTTCTTTTTGTCACTGTATTCTTGAGTATTTCTGAGTATTTCTATGACCTAGATCAGTTCCTAATCGGGATGTGTGAGAGATGATATATTGATCTTTCATTGTTTGTGTGAACAATTCCTTATAAAAATGCATATGTGCAGGGTTGATGGCTGCTTGCTCTGAGTGGGAATGACTCGTATTCGGCTGTATGGTTATTCAAGCTTTTCTGGTTGTCTAATCTGCGACTAGCTATTGCTAAGCCAGTGGAAGCCGCTCATGCATCGGTTGTCATGTCCTGCTTTTAGGTCTACTGGATTGACCGAGCATTGGCTGCGTACTGGAATTGTGGAATATGGAGGTCTCTTTGCGATCTTGGAGTTTTAAAAAGCTTGACAGAATCTGGGGGGTCAACAAATTCCATAGTATTTCCATGACGAATCCAGCAAAGAAGAACGAAGAAACCTGGGAGGGTTGTAAGGGGGTTTGTATATATTTGAGCCTCCAGATGTCGCTTACCGAAGTCCTTGGGTCACCTCCAGAGCAACTACCTTAAGACTTCACCCCACTGTTTGTGGGATTCAGGAAGGACACCCTCAAGAATCCCATCCAACACTGTCTTCCTAAAAGTCTCTTTTTTTTCTCTCTCCATTTTCCATTCATCTCAATACAAAACATGGACTCAACCACTCAACCCATTCTGGAGGGCTTTCTGGCTCTCCGCGACAACTCAAGCCGGCGAGCAGCGTGTGTCCCACTTCCAAAGTTTAGAGTCGGTTCTGACCGCTAATACAAAAAGGTTCAATGGGATCCTTGATAACTTAACTTCTCATGAGATACGAGAAGTAAAAAGTCGATTAGAGACGATGACATTCCAATGTGATTTGCTAGACAAATTGCCTCTTGAACTGGTGACTGTGTTAGTAAAGTACTTGGACCTAGCCGAACTTGTTCTACTCCGAAGAGTATGTCATCGTCGATTTGGATACTTGTGACATCGATTGACAGGTTTATACCACAAAGGTCTCCAAACGATGGCGCGCAATGCTCTCTTCAACCATCGTCATCACTGCTGCAATCAGATGCCATATGGGAAAAAGCGTCATCCAGCCTGATTTTATCTTAGCGGATTTTGATGCACTGATTAAAAAACGACTTCGAGCGGAAAGGGGAATGCCTGCTATTGTGGCTACAATTCCTTATGACTTGCCTCCTGAAATAGATGACGAGCTGAACAGAGACGGCATAAGCTATTGCAATGGAGTATGCGCGTGGATTGAACAATCCACAGATCGAACTACTATTTTCATGGTGGACCTGCCAAGCGGCAAAACCAGAACCCTCACAACAGTGAATCGAGAGGGATTTACTCATGTCCAGGTATCAGACACCTTGGTTTCAGCAACTTCTACTCGGGGGTCTGTAGCCGGAAAAGGAATCTCACAATGTTGAATGCACTTCTGATTGAACACGATAGGTATTGCCATGTTTGGAACATACCCAAAGAAGAGCATAAGTCTTTTCGCATTCCTTCGCTGCAATTTGCTCATTACATATCCATCGGATCAAAAGTCATGCTGAGCTACGCGGATTCCGTCCTCCACTTCTGTTTTGACTCGGGAGTCGCCCGTGTCATCAAAATCAGACCATTCATCCTTCTACTATCACCACATGCAAAGGAGGATGGATTCTTCGTCGTTTGCATCCGCAGAAAGAATGGCAATGATTCTCAACTACGGGAAGATGGTAGCTTGCTTTGGAAGTATCATCATTTTCAGATACAGAAATTCTCTGTCCACGAGAACAAATTTATCTGCACCTGGGAGCAATATCGAGAGCTACCTTTCAGAGATGAAAAATTATGGGGGTTTCAATGCGAACCAGGAGACACCACACTACCGTGCAGAGCGTCTCTGCGCTGCGGTCAAAGCTCTGCTTTGCTGGGATATTACACGACTGAATCCGATAGGACTCGTAATCAGACAGATGATCTTCCTCTGCAAGATGGGGTTGAATATGGTTCACTTTCTCTTTCATTCGAGGCAAATGATCGGATTACTGTACATTTTCGGCCCGCAGGGTTGAACTTTGAGAGTCCTCACGCCAATCTAGACTACTCAGCCCAGGGCCGTGGCTTGATTTACTGTTTTGAGGAGCATAACTTGTCGAAAAAAACCATATTGCATATTGGCTGTGAATTCTCAGAGCTCTCGCATGTCCGCAATACTAAAGCGTGTCGATTTGCATCCTCACATGCATTACTTTTTCCAGATGAGCGGTCATGCACCTCGGTTTTGGGTGATGGGGACTTTGTTATATTTCCTACGAATGGGGAAGTCTGGATCTGGTGCTTTGATGACACATGGCTCCCCTCTGGTATTCCTCATATGAGAATTACAACTTGGTGAATTGATAGGTGACAAGTGAGAATCTGCTGCAAAAATCACCATGTCAACTAGTCCGCTATGTAAACCCTGTCAAGCCCACCTGGAGACTAGCGGACTTTTGCAGTCAATGCAAGCTCTTTGTTAGGTTTTACTGTATGAACCAATATGTAGATATCCTGGCGAGACCTTTCCCGTTCCGTTTTAGTGATTGCCTCTTGCCGCTTTTTGATCACTGAGTAAAACTGGGCACGCCCCTGAGTACCCCAATCTCATCACTGGCCACTTCATGATCAACGTGATCTGCTCACTAAGCACCGCCTAATCACTCCCTAAGCACCCTTAGTTACTAGTCGGCCAACTTATCCACCTATGATCATTGTATAACCACTGTGATATAATCACACGCTAACATATCACGTGTGGCCTTCGACCGCCGATCAAAAAAGGACTAGCGTAGTGAATGTGACCGTCCGTTCTAGCGGTCTCGATCCTGTCCAAGGAAAAAACCTACAAAATCCTTAATTTATTCTTTTCCTTTATAGGCGGCGCCTCGATGTTACTGTGCTTAGTAGAAAAAAAAAGGAATTTCTACCTATACCAAGTACGGTGCGACGTAGGTTGCCAATTGATAACCCCACTTCTTAGTATACGCGTACCCCCTACACGCTACTACTTCCGAGATTGTATATCTTCCTACGCCAAATAGAGACACGTTAAATTAGAAGCTAGAAGGAAGTACTTTCATAAAATGGATAGAGTTCTCTGTTCCTCCGTAGCCCCTTCGGTATAACGTATTTTCTTAGTAATGTGTAGTGTTCTAACAACTAAGGGTCTTAGTGATGCTACTAACGAAATAACTGCCATAGTATAAAATGACCCTATAGAAGCTAATCCCTTCTAGGTATAGCCTATAGTGGTCTAAGTACATCAGTGTTACTAGTCCGTGTTGACATCTACTCAGTGAGCCCAAGCACCCTCATCAAAGCGGCGGCAGATCAAATAGGAAAGCCCCACCCGCTAGGGAAAATCCGGTACGTGTAGGTGCATATGTACTCCTGTATGTGAAGTCAAAAAAACGCCCAATTTTTGTCAAGGAGTACAGAGTCAATACAAATGTCAGGTCGTTTGTCCAAGTTGGAACTAGTGATTTTGAGGTAAGTAATATGATGATAGGCCCGATTGTTTTAATTAGGGGGTAGTTTAAGATATAATAATAGTACTAAGTACGGAGTAGTGAATGGGGTTTACAGAACTGCGCCGAGCCAGTTTGGCTGGTCTAACTACAGTCAGACATGGACCCTTGAGAAACGCTGAATCTAATTGAATGCATTAAGCATCTTTGTATTTTTTGATCTATCCAACATAGTGTTATAGTGTTGTGGTCCTATTATGTTGAAAATTAAATTGGCAGAATCCAAGCCAATGGGGCTATAAGAGAGACATGGAGTAGGGAGTACGGAGTAGAGGTTAGACAATTAAAGTAGTAGCCCTACCTGTCACCCCTTTTTCCACCAGATATTATCCCAGTAATATGTGTTCTTTTTCTTTCATCCCTGTTTAACCTGTATAGCTTATAACTTCCATATCTGCAGATCTGTCTGTCAACACATTTTCGGCCCCCTTCCCCGCAGAGCCCTTTTTTTTTTCAGCCTTCCAGACACTTCGAGACTTTCTTCTATTCTTCTCTTCTTCTCTTTTTTTTTAAATTTTTTTTTTCTTCTCAACCTTTCTTGTCTCCTTGAAAGTACCACCCTTTCTGCGCAATGACAGAAGTGTTGATGATTGGTTGATCTCCCACGTTCTTTCGGCACGAGCATAAACGGTCCATCGCGTCCGAATTCCACCCCTCACGATCCCGTCGCATCCACCATCGATTTTGTGCTATATATATACCCACACCCCCCTCCGATATGAGTCGTCTTGCCGACCCTCCTTCTACTAGGATTTCATTTGCCGGGGTACCAGACGCCCCGGGCAGGACACGAAACATTCCTGTACTTTCGTCGTCTGGTCAGCATTCGATGGATATCACCCCTCCGCCCACGGGCGCGCATGGCACCGACGACCGAATGACCGGAATCACCAATGGTGCTGAAGCTGGAAACAATCATTTGAATGCTCCCAATCTGGCTATTGGCGCTGCGGCCGCAGCTCAACAGCCAAAAGTCGTTCAGACTGCTTTTATTCACAAGCTCTACAAGTATGTTATTCTGGGTTTCGTCTTCTATCTCCATGAGCTTACGATTTTTCTTTGGGAAACAGTATGCTAGAAGACCCCAGCATCCAACATCTCATCTCTTGGTCCGGCACCAACGATAGCTTCGTCATGTCGCCAACGTCGGAATTTTCCAAAGTCTTAGCGTGGGTGCTATCTTCTCTGCCAATGAACTCGTTCCTGACCCTCGCAGATCGTACTTCAAGCACACCAACATCTCCTCGTTTGTCCGGCAGCTGAATATGTATGGGTTTCACAAAGGTGGGTGTTTCGCATGCTAGCTTTGATTGGGCGATTTCTGACCATTCTTGACTCTGCTAGTGAGCGACGTCTTTCACACCGGGTCCCCAGATTCTGCGCTCTGGGAATTTAAACATGGCAATGGGAACTTCAAAAGAGGCGATCTAGCCGGTCTACGAGAGATCAAGCGCCGTGCTTCGAGGCACGCTTTGATCCACCGCGATTCATTCCCTAGCCATAAGGCTGCTTCGCAGCCTGGAACACCTGCCGAGCCTGTAGCTGATGCGACCGAAGCTAGAATCTTAACCTTGGAGGCCAACTACTACGAACTGCATGCTCGTATGGCTCGGGCAGAAGAAGGCAATATAACACTGAACTCGAGATGTCATGCTATGACCGACAGCCTGACAAAATGCTACCAAGTATGTCCGCCGTCTATGTTAGTGCAGGGTGCATTGATGCTAACCTGATCTTAGTGGACGCATTCTATCTCACGGTTTCTTCAAGCTATTGTGCCCGATAGAGAAAGTCCTTTACATCGCGATGGTATGTCAATATTGCCGCAACCCTCATGGTGACACGCACTGACACCTCCCAGTCTCGAGCATGCAAAGAGAAGTTGAGAAACATGTTGAAATCATGCGCGCTATTGAAACCTCGCACGAAACTCTCATGCCTCCCCGGCAACAGTACTTCGCCAGCATCACCGAAGCCGGTCCACCTTTGTCCCCGCGCCAAATGCCCCAGGACGATGCCCGTCGACAGTCCATGATGGACCATACACCTAGACCCACCAACATGATCCGGCCGCCCGTTCCTCCCCATCTCTCAGTATCCCCTCGTCGCTACGGCTCGATTGGCGGCGCCAATTCTGCCTCGGCGTACGCTCGCCCACAGCCTCCTGTTGCGCCGCCCCCACAGCAACCGATGCCCCATCCTCTCTCTGTATCAACATCCCCAGGGCCTAACTTGGCCCGCCGTCACACGTCTGCGGACATCCGACAGCACGGCTGGTCCCCATCAGCTGGCTCCCCCTACCCCCCTGGTAACCCTCCAAACGGCCCTTGGCCTTCATCACCAGGGCACCCAACACCGGTCTCTAGTGATCAGCAAGTCCGTGATGTCCTCGCCCAATACGAAATGGGTGCTCCCCGCCGCCTTCAAGAACAATCTCGCCATGCCACTCCACCCACCGCCGAACCTTCACCGTCCATGCTCGGTGTTGACAACGGCTGGACCCTTGGATCGAAATTCCCCCATGGCTCTTCACTGCCCGAAACCCGTCGCTCGAGCATGGCAAGCAATGTGCATTCATTGCTCAATCCTGCCGATACTGCTGAAAGACCCGACGAGGATCAGCAGGTGATGGTAGAGGACCGTAAGCGAAAGCGGTTGGAATAAACGCCGAACACTGGAAGATTCCCAACATTCACCTTCCACTAATGGTGGCACTACGTTCTCCTTCTCTCATCAACCCCCTATACCACCGACAAGCCATGTCACTTCCCTCTTCTTCCCCAGCTCTTTTGACCTGCACATGTACCATTGATCAGCGCAGAGGGCACTCGTCTCCAGATACCTGAAGAATGTCCGCAGCTCTGATCTCAATTTTTTAATTGCCCCTGTAGATGCCCCTATGCCTCATTTCTCTTCCTTCATCTTCACTATTTTTTTGGATATTTAACTCTGGCGAAGGCACGCCAATCCCGGTGCTTGGCTCATGGCTTTCCGGGTTCCCATACTTCGTCTTCGTTCACACACAGCATATCATATATACCCTTGGGTTGGGCGGAGCAAAAAAAAAACATTGGATCTTGTGGCACCTAGAGCAAGAGACTGGAATTGAATTGTATATTAAGTTTGCAGTTTGATCATATCAATTGGAATGACGTTTTTTCTCTGCAGGCTGTTTGATCCGGGTATCGTGCTGGGGTGGTAGATGGCATAGTATGGCATTTGGCCGAGTCGCCACTCGAGGATGCATGCGGTCTTGCGCTTAGCCAAGGGACCCTGCGCTATAGTTTCCGCCGCTGGTAGCTTGAAGGCCCCGGCAGGCCATCCCGCTGTGGCGGCATGGGTTCAACCCCCCAAGCACCTGAATCAATGGCCCGATCGCCGTGTCCGGCGTACCCAGAGCGACCAAGCTCGAAGCCTAATCCATACAAGAGAACCCAGAGCTAGTGAAAGCTCGCGCAACGCTCGTGTGCGTGGGAACATAGAATGGAACACATCAACCGCAAATCTTCATCTCTTCTTTCTCTTCTTCGCACGCTCAGCCAAAAGCTCATCAAGATAACTCGTCGCCTTCTTTCTGCCCTTTGAGCGCGCAGGAGCCGGCGCACCCCCACCCTCCCCACCACAGTTGTCTCCGGTCTCAGCAGCCGCAGCCGCAGCCGCAGGATGCACTCCGCGACCCGCCCCAGCTCCACCCTTCCTCTTATTCTTCTGTCTAGCAAGCATAGCGGACCGACCATCCTCTTCGTCATATTCGTCCTCAGCCTCAGCTTTCGCCACAGTAGCCGAAGCAGACGCAGCCGCAGCCGTAGAAGCAGCCGCCGCGGCCTTCTGCTCGGCTGCGGCCTTCATAACGCGATCGTAGTTCTTGCCGAGAAGTTGTTTGCGCAATTTGTCATTAGAGTCCAGCTCTGTACGATTCCAGCTTCCGTCTGCTGCTTTCTGGGGGAGGGGGGCTCCGACGCCGAGACTGTGATTAAAGGAATGTGGTTAGTTGATGCGCTTGTAGGGTGTATTTTTATGGAACTGGGGGATGGTGGTAAGAGATATGCCCGTGTTGTAGATTCAAAAAGAAAGGGAAGGTTGGAGCAACACTTACGTCTCTGGCACTGCGGTGAAGATTTCATCTTCTTCTCGTTGGAGCTCTTCGTCAGTCTTGGGGTTTGCTAGCTCTTCTGTTGTTTGTTGCGGTAGCCATGATGCTACGAGCCGTTGGCTGCGGGATAGGGCAACATTGGCCCGATTGAGAATTACGTCGGACTCGCTTTTAGAGAGCGACATTTTTGGTTTCTTTGTGCTCAATGTTGAATTGTTGGCGGATTAGGGTCGGCCTTGGGCGGTTGGGATCTGCGATGCCTTTTTTTTTTTGCCGATTTCGCGGAGGCGGTCAGCGGCGATCTATATATCGACCTGAAGGAGATGTGGAGTGGCTAATGTTTGAAGAAGTTGAACTTATCAAGAGAAGTCTCAGTAGGAACTGATATAGACCGAAATGGACGAATTCAAATTTGCTTGAATTACTGCTATCTATACACTGATTTTCGTGGATGTTCAAAGTTCAGATGAAGTAAATTGCACATGGACACAATTGATCGAAACAAGCAGGGAAGGAACAACGTCGATTTGAGTGTTCAAAGAGCATGAGATTAATGAAAGACACCATTTATAAGGAGCTAGACTGCAGAAGCACAAATACATCTATCACATCGAAATGTTCGGGGAATTCTTTCGCTAACATAGCTTTGTTTGATCTCAAACCTACAACAAGTTCAAACTTATCCTTCTTGTGTCTCCCTCTTTTTGTGCATTTCCATAAAAAAAGGATCTAAACTGTATCCAATCCGATATCAAGTTTCAACGCCGCGCGCGGGTCTTCCATTCACACAATTCCGAAAGAATCCTCTCAATGCTGTCATTAGAGATGAACTCTCGGCTTCAGTTTAATCATCAGCTTTGGCTTAATCCATATAAAGTAATCCTGTTGATCCATCCAGTCTTGTTCAGGCTTATCTAGCTCCATATCGAAATTGAAGATCATGCGAGCGAGAATCAGACGCATTTCGACGTATGCCAGACTAGAAAAATAGACGTGAGCAAACAGCGAGTACAGACGACAAGTTGAGAACCTACTTGCGTCCGATACAGTTCCTGGGGCCGAAACTAAACGGTTGCATTGCAGTTTTACTGTCATTTGCAAAGCGAGGGTCATCTAAATGACGCTCTGGGATGAACTGCTCGGCGTCGGTGAAATTGGCAGGGAAGTGACTGGCAGCTAAATGAGAGATGGAAACAATGCTCTATCAAAAGTGTAAGCGGTGCTGTATGACTTTGCAAGCAACTTGATTCTGTACTTGCCCCTCCTGGTACCCAATTTCCAGCAATCATATCACCTTGAGCATCGACAATGCGAGGTAATCCAGCTGGAATGGGAGGATAAATGCGAAGAGTCTCAGTGAGAACTGCCAAACAATACTTCAGTTTATTACAGGATTCAAAGGTGATCTCTCCCTCCCTTGTAAACCTTGATCTTATCTCATCTTGGAGCTTTGCTAGCACGCGTGGGTTTCTCAGTAGCAGATAAGTCGCCCCAGAGAGCAAAGTTGAAGTCGTTTCAGAGCCGGCGATGATCAACGAACTAGCATTGGAGACCATTTCTGGGAAGCTGAGTTCTCTCTCGGTGTGTTGATGCTTCAAGATATTGCTAAAGAAATCAGGTCTTTCGTTTGATTTTGCCAACCGACCCCGGACCTTTTCCTCAGTAAGGGCTTTGTGTACAATACTCTGTGAGATGATCTGCTTAGGAGTGATGTATGGGATGATGTATTTCGATCCAGGGAAGCGCAGAGCCACATTTGAGTAGGCACTATACTTAACCGTGCTTACAATGAGAGATACCCATTGATGATACTTTGAATTCTTGAGGCAGTCAAATGACTCCCCAAAAGCTAGGTCTCCGATAATATCGAAGGTTGTGAAGTTATACCAGGTTTCGAGGCTCACGGTCCCTATGCCACCCTTGATATTCTCATGTAGGCGCTGCATCAAAAGATCAACGTAGCCCTTGATTATAGGTTCCTGACCACGAAGTGAGCTATCAGAGAATGCGTGCGACAACAAACGTCGAAAGCGGGAATGGTCGGCATCATTAGCTTCGATGATGCCGGGATCTCCTCCTACGGGTGGTAAATAAAATCGGATATCTTTAGGCTTCTGGCCATGACCGACACGTGTGCCATAGATTGCCTTCCAGGCCTCACCGTCTATAAAAGAAAGCTCATCGGGCGCAATGCGAACTACTTTGCCGTACTGCCGATGCAATGCTTTCGTCTTTTGTGAGAGTTCACCAGCCAGGGCCATGCGGAAATAAGGCAGACGCGTGGCTGCCATGGATTTTGGACCAGGATATTTGGCCAGAGGGTGAAAGTAGACATTATAGACCAGGAGACTGATGGCGTAAAGTGGGATCTAATTGGAAGAATGTCCTTGGTAAGTCGAACTTGATAAACAGTCCAATAGAGCAGGGTGCACTCACCAATGTCAAGCTCAGCTTCAACAAAGTGAGAGCTATATTTGGGAAGTCTTGCATTCTTGGAAGCGCGGAAAGAGTAGGAGCAACCGTCATGATGTGGGCCGTCAAGTGTAAGATCTGAATATGTTCAGTTTCAACTTACTACACGGCATTTAGAGGATATTTATACTCCTTCTTGGTACCCCTCTTACTCTTATTTGGATTGCACAACAGGATAATGCCTCGAAATCTGTTCATTGTGCTTGAGACCCCGCACTCTGCATGGCGTTTTCCGGTTTTACAAAGTAGTGGGCACATGTGCATGGCCTCGCAGTATGGTCTGGATATAAAAACTAATTTTGAGAGACTTTGAATTTTGATGTAAGAAGCTTCCCCCCCCCCTCTTTAGAGAGATTTTGACTCCCTATCCCCCTGGATACTTATGAGATATCTTTCAGACAATTGTAACAAGTACCCAGCGTAGGAGGGTCTAATGTTCGATACGTCCGTCATTGGATGAGCTAGCGTTCAAGGCTAATGTATGGAGGGTGGTACAAATGTACGTTGTACGAAGCACTTGCAGAATCTATGGCTAATTCTTTCATGCAGAGAGAGATCAAAACCTGCACAGGAAAAGTAGTAGCCTTCCCTGATTTTAGGAAATGGAACAAAAGCACCATAGCTTTATCCACTTGGCCCTTAGAAGAGGCACAGCCTACAATCTCCATCTTGATTTTTTTTTTTAAGATAGCAAGCTGGGCCAATCAATACCAATTTGATTACTATTGTGATATTTACAAATACAGTTACATGTGTTGTATATGCCTTCTCCATCTACGTGTGTATCCTCTGTGTCCACGTCACCCTACGAGAGAAAGTCCTACGACAACGGGGGTTTACCCGTAACCTATCAAATAAATTAAAATCACTTTCAACTTTCTATTTCTACACCAGTAACAAAGTAAATAGGTTCAATGTGTTGTTGATAGATTAGTGGCCAAAGAATTCAACGTTATAAAAACTTAGTGTAGTAGTCCTTTGCTTTGCGCGTGGTCAGTAAACTCCTAGGTGTTGAGCGGATAAAGTCATGAATTACACCTTAATGAAGTGCATTCGAGATGCTCCGTATGATAGGTCACTTTCTTAAATACACCTAGTCTGTCTCGCTCTTTCTCCTTCTACCAGTTCGGGGTAGACTTTTTGACCTTTTAACCCTTTAACAGCCATCATCAAAGCTTGATAGGGCTAAGATCGGGTAAATAGGCTAATCATCGATATGCACCCTACGGAGTACATCTTTTTGTACCCCTCTCCTTAAAAACTCGCGGTATGTATACGTGCGCAGTGGTTTTTAAAAATAGTACCGGTGTTTAATTCAGTAGGACGCCTCCTTTAAGAGGATAAAGGTATAAGTTTGCCGTGCATCTGTTCCTCTCGCCGTGTCTCTCCCGTTCTATAACCACCAGCTTCGTGTACCCCAGTAATCTAGAGTCTAATTTGTAAGATTTACGAAATTTCTCTTTTTGTGGAACCTGATCTTTACAAATTCACATCGGTAAATGCCGGATCATAATCTCCACGCCTATTCCGTGCTAGAAATCGATGGACCAAATCCAGTCAGAAAAGCCGTTTTATGCGGAGTGGAGCAGCTTCATTTCGAGTGCAGAAACACCCTACTATGATGTTCCGGGGGGGGAGATGCAGGCACTTGTGCCTGTTCCCACTATGGAAATCGATGGCTCACGATAACGAAAGAAGTCCAAGGTAGGCGTGCGCATGGCACAGAGTAGCGAAGTTGCGAGGTAACAGAGTAGCCTCGGCGCTCAAGGCCAAAAAGGGAAGGGCAAAAGAAAGATGTGATCAAAAAGGCAGCTGTGTAGCGGAATTGACGGCTCGAGTACCGACATCGCACCTGGGTGCGGACTCGAGCGAGGATGATCGAAACAAAACCAAGACCGCAAAGTATCAATTATCACTGAGGAGTCATATAAGGATTGCACTGATTACATCGTGCATATGAAGAGAGTTTCGAACGGTCTCTTCTGGAACAAGGTATAAAATGTCATGGCATCATTTGAAGGTCTTGTGTACAGTTTAATCTATTTCTATGCCACATAAAGTCCGATGGCTCTAGACACAGGTCCCCCAATTTGTTCCAATGTAGTATAACGCAGGGTATCAAGAGATCAAGAAAAAAATCTGCCCAAAGAGCTCACAATGTAGCCTCCTTTTGATGTTTTATCCGCAGCCTTTTCTCCGTTTTCATGAACTCCCGGATCCCAACAGGGACATTAGCAAACAGTTCATTATCTTCATTCGGCGGTGTCCAACTTGCTTCGCTGCCACCGCCGTCATCATCCATGCTTCCACTGGCTGAGCGGACTTCCGCTCGAGGCGCCGAGCGCATGTCCTTCGTTCCTTTCTCAGGCCCACCTTTAGCTTTGGCTGTTGCAATCCTGGATGCCCAGTCTTCCATCTCATCTCGGAAGTCATCCCAGACACAATGTACACAACCACTCATGCAGCAGTTGTCTGGCTCCTCGGGTTGAGGAGGAATGGGGACTCCGTTTATAGTTTTCCACCTTGACAACGGAGGAGCTTCACCAGGATTGTAGCGCGAGGATCGGCCTGGACCGGCGAGACGGGTGCCGAATACGATCGCCATCTTTTCTTGGGGCGATTGAGGTGCGACGGTAGATGCGGGCGTCGGGCGCGATGTCGATGCACCACCACCGCCATCATATGGAGAGCTCGATTTCAATATCAATGAATAGTATCCTGACAAAGGGTGGACTTGAGTGAAGTCCGAAGTTTCCTCCAGGGAAGCCGGTGTATTATATGCATCGGGTTGGTCGGGTGGCCGGTGTCCGTTTATGCGCCGGGGTGTCGGAACCAGCACATATTGTCGATATGAAGCAAATGGGGGAAATTTTCTGCTAGCCAAAGAGCAAATATAAGATAAAGACCGCCGCAGCGAGTGCCTTGTACCCACAGAGAGACACTCCATAATGTGAGTTGGAGAAAGGCTAGATTAGATGGTTATGCATTGACGAGAGGAGATCAAGTCATGGTTCAAACACTGCAAACACTACCCAGTTGTTTATATTCCCCCAGTCATCATCTGCGCGCCGGGCCAAACGAGCACCCACGCGATAATGGATTCCCCAGCAAAAAAAAGGAAAACCAGCGAAACTATGGGCATTTCTGCGGTGTCAGAGATTCCTCAAAATGACTCCCATCGGCCGAGACGACCCTCCTTCCAGTCTCCAACGAGGGCCTCGAGGGCCAGTCTCGCACGATCACATCCCGATCTATTAGAGCGCGCAATCAGCAGATCTCCTGCCCAAAGACCATCTATTAAATACAGCGGGAAACAAGATTCACAACAATTTGGATTACGCGATCGCAAAGCGCTCCGACCCTCGCTTAATGCCTCCGCAAGCCCCCTCACTCGACCCCGAGGCTCTGAAGCGCCCGAAAGTTCCCCCAACAGACGCTCAAGTGGCGTTCAAGCGTTCTCGAAACCCCCACGCAGGATTTCAAGGAGAATTTTCTCTGGAGATTTGATGTTTGGGTCCCCAATGCCACAGCCAAAAACCCCCGAATCGAATACCCCCGAGCGTCAATTGGCATTGGAATTAGGCAGCGCGACAAGAGAAGCAGAAATAGATATGGGCCCGGAATCTAGTTTCATGGATGAAGATATCCTCGAACCTGACCTTCCTCCGACGCCAACACAACTAGGCCTGGAAAAGGCCCCGGATCGACCCAGAGGGATGTTAAGTAGTAGCCCTAGCAGGCGACAGGAGAAACGAGCGAAACGGCGAATCGCCAATTCATTGCATGAAAGCCCACTTAAGGCAGTAAATTTTCAATCTTCTCCTCTGGAGGACTCGGAGATGGCTGCAAACCTGGGTGGAGTTTCAGCGGCTGTTCGCGAGAAACGCAATTCACGCGAGAAAAGCGCAGCGGATTTGCGACAGCTGAGAATTGAAGTTGAAGAACTGGAAACATGGGCAAAGAAAATCGAGTCCAATCCTGACTTGGAAGGTGACATCAGAGGACTCGACAAATTCCTGTGAGTTCTGCAAGTAACTGTGGCTTGAACACTGCTGACAATCTCTAGGTCTTTACTCACATCGGAAGAGGCGAATCTCGCAAGTCTTCCAGTGCCCCGAACAGCGCCTCAATCAATTTCATCCCTCCTCGCCACTTTGCTCCCGTTCTCCGCCAATACCCCTCGCCTAAAACGTGAACTACCATCGCTACCAACAAACCCATTTGCCCTGCAAGAAGCTTCTCAATCACTGCCGTACCTGACAGCTTTTGCACCCTTGAGCCTCAAAACCCGCACAACACGATCGTCACGTGGGGAGGAGCTATCAGAAACACACACTTTGACATTTTCTCCCCCACCTCCATTCCCAGCAAGCTTATACAATGTGACGGTTGTCTATGAGACAAACCCCGAGACCCAGTCTTTGACTTCCGTGTCAGTATCCACTGGCAGCGACAGCAAGAAAAGAAAAGCCCCCGAAGCCCTCCGCCGATGGATTGATACCCGCTTAGAGAACCCTCTCTTGAAACTAGACGCGGCAACTCTATGCTGGGGCATCAACCGGTACTGGGAATCTGCAATAACCCGCGCTCGTTTGTGGGCACATATTGACCACAAGTACGGCCCTCGAGCCTCGCAGGGCAGAAAGGATGCTGCCTTGCAAAGCAAGAACGGTGTTATCACACTTTCTGAACTGCGACGATTGGTCCCACATTTTGATCGGAGTGCTATGGTGATCAAACCTAAGTCGTCTAACTCCAGTCCCCGAGTACTTTTGTCCAATGCCTTGGTGTTGGATGAGTGGACCGGAGAGCCTCAGCTGCGGCCTGAGATCAGCGTGTCGATCCATGGGGTAGATAAGAAAATTGACCAGGAGGCGAAGAAGCTTTTCCATGCTTTGCTACGTGAGGATGGTGTTTTCGTCGCGCGAGGTGTGGAGGGTAGTATCCATGTTGATGCGGTGATAAGGGCGACTGAGGGTGCTCTTGGTGCTTTGTTCGGTGGTCTTTAATTTTTTGAGCATTCCGGTGCGATAGTCAGCGTTAGGCGGTGGGGGGTTGTTATTTAGCGTAGTTTTCTGAAGATACCCGAGCAGAGCTCACTGCAAGTTTAAATGTATTGCTTTAAAGTGTGACTCATGAAACAACCAATTTCCCATCTTCATAAACGAGCTGGGTATCAGACACGCAGTCACAGTCACTGCGTTGTGATAATATGTTCATAAATTGAATTCATGCAAAGACATCCTGTTATTCCCATCTGAGTAGACCTTGAAGATTGACAAGTATCCATAGCCAAGCTACAAAGTGCATAATGAAATGAACTACAAAAGGATTTCGATGTTGTCCTCGCCGGAAGCCCAAGATCCAAGACCTGGACTACCACATTGACAGCCATAGAGGTATGAGACGTACAGGCATAAAAGCCAACATTGAGAAAATTGGGCGGTTTTGAATTTCGAGAGATCTTCCGAGTTCTTTCTTTTAGAGACAAAAAGGAGTAAAGTTTGGGAGGGAGAGAGGGAATCAAGGAAGAGGCGCAACGCCATGCCACAGTACACTAATCCCCGATTCGAAAACCGACCCGATCATCATCATCAGCACGAGAAGGGAATTAACACATTTATTTCTTGGCAGCGACCTCATCATCAGCCTTGGTCTTGGCACGCTTCTCGCGGATACCCTTGTAGCGGGCCTCAGCGCGGGCGTCACGGAGACGACGGTAGGCAGCCTCCTCACCCTTGGGGAGCGAGTCGCGCTTGACCTCAGTAACGGCCTCGGCGGCAGTGGGGTTGGTGATGGGGAAGGTGGCCTCAACACGGGTGACGATACCGTCACGCTTGCCCTCAGCGACGGTAGCCTTGACGGACTTGACTTCCTCAGCGGAGGAGTCGAGCTTCTTGAACTGACCGCTCTTGCGGGGGAAGAGGATCAGGCGGGCCTTGTAGTCCTGGAGACGGGCGACGTTGGCAACCAGGGACTCCTTAGAGTAGTTGGTGCGGCGGTGGTCAACGGAGATACCAACGGTGGGAGCAAGCTTCTTGGGGATACCAGCTTCCTACAAAGCGCAAAAAAAATGTTCGAGTCAGCAAGTTGTTTCCTTATAACCTCCATTTTCGATGCGGCTCAATTTACCTTCAGCTCAGCGAGGGTGAAACCACGACCGGCACGGACACGGCGGTTGTACTTGATGGTGGGGCATCGGACAACGGGACGCAGCTTGTCGACCGGACGGGGAGCAACGGCAGCCGCCTTAGCGATGCGGGCCTCACGACGACGGTGCTTCCGGCCGGGCTGTGCGATTCATGTTAGTCGGCCAAATTCACATCCTGCAGAGAAAATTTTTCCTTGATTTCAAGTCGCTTGCGATATCGTGTGGAGGAAAAGAAATCTGGTCAGAGGAATGTTGGATAGTCGTACCTGGTCGAAGTGCACACGGACACGACGCTGCCAGTCCTTGCGGAAGTCTATTCAATAATTAATCACTATTCCTTCAAGTCCGAACTCCTCATTTATTCTGTCGGGTTTGAAGCGATCACATAGATATGCAAAGCGACGGGCCACTCACGGTTCTTCTGAATCTGGTTGTTGTGCTTGATCGCCTATATATCCCACACAAAATCGGTCAGTCAACCATCACTTTCGTTCTTTTCGAGGCGTATTTCGATGCGTCGATTTCTCTCAATCGCACAAGTCGAATCCTTCATCGTATCTTCCAAACAGGGATAGGGAACGCACCATGGTGACAGATGGGGATCGAGCCGGGTGGTGGTCGTCGAGGGTTGCTGGTCAGATCCTCCTTCACGGCAGAAAATGAAGTTCCCATTTTTCGTGTGGCCGCCCGCTGACTGGCACACCGCCTCGCTTAGCGAGCCCTAATCAAGCCAAATTCGGTAATCTGCCAGAGTAATTTTTTTATTTTATTTTATTCTTTCATTTTATGCTCTGCTATGAGATGTTCTATGAAATCATGCCTGATTTTCTTTTGGATGGATTCAATTGGTCCTATTGGGTATATACTTCATGTGTCGCTTTCAAGTTTGTAAATTCGGTACTGGTCTCTGAAGGCTCTACTCCTATTGTACATGGTTCTATCCCAAATTTCCATCTGATACTCATTCCACCTGAAGTCCGCGGGGACTGATTGAAAAGCAATAACCACTCGCCCGTGATTTTCATACCGAAAACTAATTTAGTAACACCACATGTGAAAAGGCCACGGATCAGCTGTCGAGCCTCTTCATATTAAAGAATCCCCCCCCCCCCAAAAAAACACCCAAACATCAATAGATAGTTTGAAAACACCACATTTGGCATGTCTTCATTATTCGTGAGATTCCCATTATCGTAACAAGCAAAGCAGCGCTAGGTCATGAATCATATCAAAGTTGGTGGCACTAGTTCTTCGTGGCCACGGGATATGAACTCAGGCGTTGATACTCAGGCCAATACCATTCGGAGCCCTAGACTTCTTCGCAACGGCAACGTTTGCGTCACTGCCTGCCTTGCGCTTGCTAGGGCGAGATCGCTCCACACCTGGTTTCTGCACCTGGCCGAACAACTTTGTCTGAAGCAGTGTGCTGCTCTTGGGGACGGTGGAGCGCATTTGCGGTGGGGAATCCAGAGCCTCTTCCGCCGCCTCGGAGGCCGAGAGGGATACGGTGCTGTCGCTATCATAATGGTCTTCTCCTGGGTACCCAAGGGTAGCGGGGTACTGATTTTTTGAGTGGTTCGGGGTGACGGGAACGGATGTTGCAGAGTGAGTACTATAAGCGTGCGTCTGGTTGGTGAGTTTATCGGCGTAGAGAAGAGCTGCGAGACCGTCTGCGTGTTCACCATGGCAAAGATTGTGTATCTCATTCTGAGTGCCCGGCGATATGCTGCCATAGTTGAAGATCTGGGAAAAGTGCTTGCGATTGTCACCAATACGACGCTTAAGCATGAGGTTCTGCTCCTCAAGGTCCATAGACCGACTGCTAGCTTCATCGATGGCACGCTTCGCCTTTCGGAGTCTTCGGTCTAGAACAGTATTGAGCTCTTCTAATTCTTGCGAGCGCTGAACAGCCGAGAGATAATCAGAGTTCGAAACAGATTGGGACTGCGTTGGCGTGACGGGATCCGCGGGGTGCGAGCGACTGCGGTACTCAGCGCTCTGAAGAATCTCGACTTCGCGCTTGGCAAGCTGATGCTCCACCTCGGCGCGCTTGACGGCTTCATTGCTAGCGAACGAGACCAAGCTGTTCTGCAGTTTGAAGTGCAACGCAGACATGCGTGACTCTCGGGCTACAGTTAAAAGTTCTTTGGCAATAGTACGCAACTGGGTTTCGCTGGCGAGGTCAATTTCCTCCACGGTGGGCAGGTTCTCAGAAGCACCGTAGGCATCGAACAACGACTTGTCCATATCGCTGGAGTTAACCAACGAAGGGCTCAAGGAACGCGAGTGTGAACGAGAACGAAGTGGGGCCCCTGGGATCTGAGATGAGGGTGGAGGGGTCATATCCGACGAGGACAATGGCAGAATAGAGAGTGGCTTCTTATCCGACTCGGATGATGGGCGCTTAGCCATAGCGCTGAGCTCTGGCGACGGGGACAGTGTGGTCCGGTGAGTTGGAGTCGAGGGCACAATCTCTACCGGTGCTCCCACGGAGCTTTGTGAGCTGGAATTTTGAGACATGATAGATGTGTAGTTATTGAGTGATATGGATATAATGTTATATCACTTTGTTATGACCATGAGGGTCTAGCTGTGGGGAAACGGGTCCTCGCACTAATCTCTTATCAGCACCTTTATCATAGAACAGATGATTGAAGAAAAACAAAATGATGCATGTTGTACATACCGGAGACTGAGCGGTCAGGCCTTCGGCTCGGTCGATCGCACAGATGCTCAGGCCAGATATGGTGCCTCAGGAACCAAGTGAGAAAATGGAGGATCGAGGGCGGAGCAAGGGGCATAGGAATTTCAATTTTGAGCTAAGAAGATAATGACTTGGAAAGCCTGGAGAAGGATGGAAGATGGGGGTATAATGGAGTTGAGCGAGACCTTAAGAGAAAGAGGTTACTCCAGTTTGCGTTATTGGGAGGGGCTGGGAGGCTGGGAACAGGGGAGTCTCAAGGTACCCGCTTTGGGTTAGTCAATTTCCCAGCCCCAGTCAATTATCTAAGAATATAAACCAATCAGTGACGAGTAATTGTCACATTAAGCCTATTTAGGCTAGTTTGACGATCACGGGACGCTAAGGGCAAGTCAACACCCGCGACCAGGCAAGCGCTGGGGGGTTGGGCAGGCAACCGATAAGCATCAAGATCTATATATAATGTGTGAAATCAAGGAGATGATTTAATCTCGATACTTTGTCTAGTTGAGCCTTTAGTGGTGTTATGAGAAATTTAGTCTTCTTGCGTAAAAAAAATAAGAAAGCTAAGGCAACTCTTTATGCCTATAAACTTGACAGCAAGTAGTTGTTGTTTTTTGGATAGTATTGATTTTTTTACAACATCTGGAGAAAGCTCTATGTATCTAGCATGTCAGAGCAATTAGGCAGGGCTTTTACAAACATAACACGCAAGGACACCTTTTTTTTACTACCAGCTGTGTGTGCTAGTCCTCTTCGGCAAGCGAAAACAATGATTAGGTGTCTGTGATTTCTACTGATGTCTTTTAGTTTTGATGTATAAGAATATCTTTAATGGGTACTACGTATCGGAAGATTATTTGGCCCAATATGGAACTGTTTGTATACTCTCGTACTCTTTTCTGCGGACTTCCGGGGTGCTCCTATTCCCATATACACTGAATAGTGTGTGTGATAAAAATGTCTCTTCTAGCTCCTAGTAGTTGGCTTGAGTGCTATCCAAGAGAGGTTTGAAGTCGCTGCTTAATTTTTTATATTAAATATCTGTGCGCTTTGTTACCATGCTCTTCTATATATCCCTCGGAACAAGGCCAACTGTCAACCAACTATAGGTTATTTAGACATTAAATTGCAACCAATCTATGGTGTTGTAAATGTGATAATTGTTCCAAGACATTTTTACATCTAGAACATTACATGCTAGGCCAAAACATAGTTTTATATCTGCTCAGTACGAAAGTTTCATGGATCGGGACCAAATCGGTTGGTGCCTGAGGCGACAATTACGGATTGTAAACAATCCGCTTCGTCCGAAACAATTCTAGACTACTTGTTCTTCATTCCTTTGCGCCCAAGACCACGATTTTGACAGGGCTGAATCTGCCACAGTGACTCTCCCCCGCCTTCCACATTCTCTATCCCGCTCCTTATCATCGGACATGAGCATTCGAATTCCTTGACGTGCGACGTTCTCCTTGACCGAAGATCAGCATCAATAACCGGAACGCCAGTATGGAAGGGCAGCCTAAGACATCTACACGCCCTGCGAGCGTTATACCACGTCCTGCGAGCGGCATTCCACGCCTTACTTCAAGGTTGCCTTTACCTACGACCACCGCATCAAAATCGATCAAACCCTCACCTTCCCGAGACAGACTCCGAGCTGATCCTGGCCTGGATGAAAGCAGGTTGCGAAGACCATCTCACAATGCGCTCTTGAAAAAACCGACTTCGCACCATCTGTCGCCACCTAAGCCGCAGGGTGATCCTATCCCAGCCCTAAAGCAAGAAGATGTACAAAGCGGGGAAGACGACACGCATGTTCCAGAGGAGGCGACCTCAACTGCCGGAGATGATGATACTGCATCAATCGCATCGGCCCAAGAAGCACGTGGTCGCCGTGGAATACGCCCATCACTGTCCGAACGTACACTTGAGACGCTAGCGCAACTTCCACCATCACCGGCTTCGGTGAGAAGGCAGTCCAGCTTTTTCAATGGCGGCAGTCCGGTACGATCCCCATCTTGTGCCCCGTCCATTGTATCCAACGTTTCAAGATCGCCATCGCAGGCATCATCATATGCACCGCCTGGTAACGAGCAATGTGTAAGGCCTGCTTCGAAGCTGCGTCTTCCCTCGAAGGCTCGTATTTCGACTGCTGGATCTATTTCTCCAGTCCACGGCTTCGAGGACAGCGTGATCTCATCAAGATTGAAGCGGCTGTCACTTAGGCAAAGTACTGCATCGGGGGACGGTGTCCCCTCAGACATCAGTTCGCCGCCCAAGAAAAACATACCCGAAAGACCAATTGGCAACAAAGATTCACCAAAACCCTCGCTTATCCGCCCACCACCGGGAAAGGCCTCCGCAAAGTCCGCAAAGTCAAATATGGGTCCCCCAGAAAGACCCCTTCAAGTAAAGAAAACAAGAAAACCTCAAACAGGGCAGGTGTCTACCCGACGCTCTCCTTCGACAGGTTCAAGACATGTGTCTACTTTTTCCAACATGCTTGATGACCTGTCCCCGGAGCAACAGGCAGAAATTGAAGCTAGAAAAGCCTCCAAATCGTCCAGTACGCTACGTGAAACCATAGCAAAGGCAAAGGCTGCCCGCAAGGCGATGGCGGCTGGTGATCAGAAGGAGAAACCGCAAGAGCAAGTCTACCAGGCCCCGCCAATCGATGCGCCTCTCGATTCGTGGGCAGGCGGCGACGACGAGGATCCTTTCGGCCAACCGTCCCAGGGGTCTAACTCTTTGGTGATGCGGAAGCGTGTACAGACAGCACGTGCAACCGGCCAATTGAACATTGCAGCGTTTTCTTTAAAGGAAATCCCAAAAGAAGTGCTGACGATGTACGACTATGACCCAGAGAACTCCGCAAACTGGTTCGAAAACGTTGATCTTGTCAAGTTTTATGCCGCGGACAATGAGCTGGAACAGATTTCAGATGAAACATTCCCCGATATCAACCCCGAGGAGTTTGATCCTGATAGCGATGATCGAGGACTTCAATTTGGGGGCCTTGAAACGCTGGATCTCCATGGAAACATACTGAAGTCCCTCCCAATGGGTCTTCGACGTTTGCAAAACTTACGCACCCTCAATCTGTCGAATAACTGTTTGGACATGGCCCATATCGAGATCATCGCGGAGATCAAATCTCTGACCGATCTGAAGCTTGCGAATAATCAACTGCAAGGGGAACTGACTGTCGTCATTGGTCGTCTTTCTAGCTTGGAGTTTTTGGATCTGCGTGGCAATGCTCTCACCAAACTTCCAGATGAGCTGGCTGGATTGAGTTCTTTGAGAACATTGGATGTCAGTGAGAACAAGTTTACTTCTTTGCCGTTCGAGACCCTTTGTAAACTTCCTCTGAAAACGCTGAATGCGCAGAAGAACAGACTCGAAGGCACTTTGATACATGCATCAGTGACCAAGCTGGACACATTGCAGTCACTAAATATTGCCAATAATGCTGTGATGGTCTTCTCTGCGAATGACGCGCTTGAACTTCCTGATTTACATACCCTCCTGATCGGCGTCAATCGCATCACGCATCTCCCACGCATGACTTCCTGGCAGTCATTATTAACGCTGTCTGCCGAAGAAAATAAAATTGCAGAGCTTCCACAAGGGTTTGCCGAGCTCAAGAGTCTCAAGAAGGCAGATTTTACAGGAAATTCCCTCACGCACTTGGATGAAAAGATTGGATTAATGGAAAACCTTGCCTCTTTGCGGGTTTCCAATAACCCACTTCGTGAGCGCAGGCTGCTGAGAATGGACACCGACGATATCAAAAGAGACTTGCGGAGTCGCTCTGAGCCTGATCCCCAGGACACAGATGACGAGGGATCAGTGGCCACCCAATTCACCCTAGCGCCTGAGAGTCCCGAGCTTGATCGCAGCTGGGATATTAAATCCGGTGGGATTCTTGACAAGTCTTATGCCGGAATGACCGACCTTAAGGTGGAACAATTGGAGATGATTCCATCACTAGACATTCGGTGTCTTTATTTGCAGCACAATGAGCTGAGCTGTTTCCCGGCCCCCGCCATTGGAATGTTGGCACAGTGTCTGGTTGAGCTTGATCTTTCACACAACCCCTTGAAGGGCGCTGAGTTCTTGTCTTCCCCGCTTGAATTGCCAAAACTTCAGTCGCTGACTTTGAACGCGGGCGGCTTGACGTCATGGGAGCCTCTCTTATCCAACCTGATAGCCCCATCTTTGACCTTCTTGGATGTATCGCACAATCGTTTGAAGGGACCACTCCCTCATCTGAGACATACATACCCAGAGCTTAAGACCCTAGTGGCCTCTGACAACCAGATTGCTAGTCTGGACTTCGAGGCCGCACAAGGATTGCAGGTCTTGGAGCTAAGCAACAATGAGCTTGATTCGCTTCCCCCGAAGATTGGCCTGCTGGCTGCTGGTCGCTCTCCTCAGAACTGGGGCAATGGATCGGCCTTGAGACGTTTCGAGGTGGCCGGCAATCGATTCCGAGTACCTCGCTGGCAGGTAGTTGCCAAAGGAACCGATGCGATTTTGGAATTCTTGCGAGAGAGGATTCCTGATAGTGACCTGCCGGAATGGGAGCAGGAACACAAAGCTCCCGAGGAAGAGTTCTAAGACATCTAGTTGGAGAGTATAATTTAGAGACTTGTATAATAATCACCATGTTTGTTCCATGTACATATACATCACTGTCTGTGCTTCTCCAGAGCTTTTGTTATCTTCTAATCAGCTATTTTGCAGCTTCGTGACAGATAACTATATTCAGTTTGTTTCAATTGACTTGCTGACCTCGTCAATCACCTTGAGCCAGGTATTCGACCATGTAGCGAACTTGTCTGCCGGTGCATCATCCTTAACATCCGCAGCCCCCCAGGGTGACGCGACCAACCCCACCGCTTGTGTGGCAGACTTCCTCGTCTTCCGGAGATACTGAGCGGAGGTTTCAAAATTGGCCTCGTACAACGCGCCAGCTGCCTCGTCGACATCGTCCGGAATGGCCTGCAGATTCAGCATCAAGGACTCCAGCTTCTTGACACCAGATGAAGAAGCTAACGGCGCACTTCCGGCATTTTTCAGCCGGTTGTTGATGATAGCTGGGTAGACCTGGGCAATAGGCTTGAGGAAACGAAGAGTAGATTTCTTGTGTTCCTGGAGAGCGGCTGTCTCTTCTTCATCATCATCATCCTCATCATCATCCTCATCGTCATCTCCACCCTTCCCCTCATCACCGAGAATATCATCAAAGAAACCATCGTCCTCTTCTTCCGGATCCCAATCCTCGATTTCCTCAACCGCGTCGCGAACCAGGTCCCTCCACTGCTCAACGCGGCGAATGACAAACTCAACAACTCCCTTATTCGCAATGTCGGTTGTAGCATCACACGCATCCCAAACACGGCCCGTAGCGAGCATCACAGCATCTTTCTCGGATTTCGTCCCACCGCTCTCCTTCCCTGTATCCTTCTCCTGATCTTTCTTCTCTCCAACGACCTTGACCTCCCGAACCAGCCCGGAAAGCTCTGTCAAAGCCGTTTTAACAAGAATCAAGACCTCGGTGTGAAACGCCTTGGTGTATTGCGCCGGTGTCACAAGGAGGGAAGCAGTCACGAGGGACGGCAGTATAGATTCATTGAGCTCGCGGAGCACGGTGCTGACAGCGGAATGCGTGAAGGGCGGGGTAATTGCCAACAGTGAGAGTTTCGTGACATGTGCTTTGAGCGCGCTCGAGGAGGCCGTCAAGAGGGGCAGGGCTTCGGCATCTTTTGCGGCTTCGGTTGCGGCTGCTGGGGGCGTGGTGAGGGCCGTTTGGAACTGGCCGATCAGGATCAGGGTCGTGCCAAGAATGGTGGATAATTGATTGGACATTGTGAGGGTTGGGTGCTGGCCAGGGGTGGGTTGGAGGGGAATGTAGTAGAGAGAAAAATTGGGCGGTTGGGTCTGATACCTATCGCGGGGCTGATTAGGGCTCTGCGGGGTCACCTGGGATTTCCATGTCAAAGATGTCAGCTTGAGGCTGATTTGATTGGTCTGCTGTTTGAATAAGATCATGATCATGATGATCCTGGTCTCTTTGTTTTTCTCCTATTTCAAAGATGGTGATGGTTTGGTACTTAGATCTATTACCACCTTTCTAGCATTGGAATCAAATCGCGAAGAGCTCTCGGTGTGCCAGATTCCATCCAATAACCGTGCATGGCTTGCATTTGATCTTAAGCCTAACTACGACAACGTACTTAAGCTACCTTGCACAATTTTACTGAGTAAAATCAAAAGCCCCTGGAGCAACTTGGGGCACCACGTGCCTTATAGTACATCCATGAACGTAGCGCTGCACCGACAGTCGGCCCAGTTTTGATATTTTGACCGTGTTTATAGTGCTAAAACAATCTTACTTGATTGATCAGATGTACCTACCTGCATAGGTAGCAGCCTAGTTTTTTCCCTGGACTATAGATGCTCAACTGTACCTTTTTACCCTACGATACCCATCGATGTACATCTTAAGTTAGACATCTCCACCGCTCGCTAGTGGACAAGTAAAGAATGAAACAACCTGTGACAATAGCCGAAAACCCAATTTAAGTATAACACAAATGATCATACCCCTCAGTTTGTAGTCTGCGTAAACTCCTTGTCGACTCTAATCTCAGTAATGGGAATCTCATCACCACCAAAATGATCACCAACCCTCGGACCCAACACATTGATGTACATCTTTGCGTTATCATAGTCCGGCCTAAACGAGGCATCTATTCGTGCCTGTTCTCCCGCCGAGCTGGGATCATCTGGTAGATGATAGAAAGAATGTCGGTTTGGATGTTTGTTGTGTTGTACAATAGCGGCAGTGGACTCCCCTGTTGCTGAAGGCTGAGTGACGGTGTCCGAAATTTTGGCAGTTGTTCTATTTTGACTTTTGAAGAGAGCCATAACGCTACCATGAACACCCAGCAAGCGTGCTATGCAGCGGAGAGCAGGGCGGATGGTTGGGAGGTTGGCCGACACGATGCCGGCAGACATTTCAATTGCGGTCCATCCAACTGTTCGGGCGAGAGTATAGGAGGAATCAAGCGGAGTGTAACTGAAGAAGACCGAGAAGCGGTAGGCGGAGGCGAAAACGACACTGTTGGGGTTAGATTCATCTGGAAGGATTTTTTGGAAAGGTTGGGGTCTGACAAAAATCCTAAGCTGAAGGCAATCAAGACGGCTATCTTTTCCGACATTCGAAGTTGGAGCTTCCATACTTGTGGAATTGGAAGGAGGAGAATGGCAATGTCGGTTGCGATCGTTGAGACGGCGTTGGAGACCCATGTGGCCACCTGGTTGATGCACCGCCCTGGAATCTGGGGATACCAGAGTTTCTGGACGGGGACGCAAATGAAGATGAAAAGAAAAGTTATGCAAATAACCCAAAGGATAACAAAGATTCCAATGATATATGCCCACGTTTTGAAGTATCGAAAGCGGAAGATCCTGTAGTACATGAGCAGAATGCTCAATTTGGTCCATGCTAGGTTGAAGACGTAGAGAACTTCGGCAACAACAAGATATTTGGCGATCAAAATCACGTTTTCTGTGGGAAGAGTCTTTGCATGGAGTCCCATTCCCTCATGGATCATGGCGTAGATAAATCCGACAACGACCAGGTTCCATAACTTGGGTTTGATCAGAAACTATGCGATTGAGGTTCATTGAAGTGAAAGAGTGGAACTCACCATAGAAAAGACAATCATATAGTCATCCCACCACAGCTTTTGCATCCGATCATACCGGGCGAGCAGTCGAAGACAAACCGTCACGAAGGCCAGCACCGTGACTGAGGCCGTAGTAGCTATAGACCATGACTGCAGACTGTCCTGATTGCTCTTCATAACGCTGGGCTCAAGGAGGTAAACATGGAACTCTGCAAATGTTGGGCAACACAATCTTATTAACGGAGTGGCGAGTACACGGGTGAGTTTCTGCAAGGAATCCTCCCCATCTTTGAGTGTACACGACTCATAAAATTCTAGAAAATTCCGCTTCTTAACGTTGGATTGACAGGCTTGGCGTCTGAAGTTTGAACTTAGTTCGGTAGTTAGCGCATGTCGGGTTAGGCATTTGTTCTGGTCTATAATCATATCACTAATACGTTTCACTTACGAGTAGACACCACATCTCAGCCAGATGTACGGAATGTCATAAGATGCCAATGTAAAGGAAAACCGTCAAAGAACCGGTGAGGACCAACTGTAGGTGCTTCATCAAATTACCCACGTGGATGCAGGGGTTGCGAAACCTATTTTCTTGTTTTAGGGAGGCTCCTGTAAAACACGGGAAAAGGCCCACTTCATGCTAGTACGAGTAGGAAGGTACAAATCTGATGATCGCTTTGAAATATTGATTTTTTTTAGAGCTTTTGACTGACCCCTGTAGCCCTTGTTGGTGGCTTTCCAGTAGACTACTTGTACTTGGTTACCATTTCCAGAAGGGCCTCATTCACTTCCTTCGGGTTGGTGGCATTCAGGTAATGCGCACCCCCTTCGACCATCACAAGTTTAGCCTCCACAGACGAGGTAAAACGTGTGATGTGTTCTGCAGGAACGATCGTTCCAAAAGGAGTGTCTTCAGTTCCCTTGTTGATTTGTTAATACATAAATCATCTACATGAGAAAATGTAGGACTCACCTGTAGCCAATAAACAGGACATTTGATGTCCCCAATCCGAAGTAGAAGCCCATCCCTCTCCAGTAGGCAGTTGAGCGCCATTCGAACCTTTTTCCGGCCCTCATCACCCTTATACACTTCCTTCAAGGTCCGAGTCCAGAATGCAGATCTCGTTTCGGTAGTAGCGGCACCAAAGCCAATTCCCCCCACCAGTCCGCACCAGACGTCATCCACCACAAAGTCGGGTGTGGCCGAGGGACTGGTCCACTTCTCATAAAACACCGTGAGATTGGCAGCAGGATCCCAACAGCCCTTGGACCGAGAATCCAAGGATTCATAATCCATGGAGGTTCCGAGGGGCATTAGACCCAAAATCTAGCACTATGTTAATGCGATTGACTTCGCCTAGCTTGGCTTGGGGCAAAATCGGCAGTTCGTTGACTCCTCCCCGGGCTTGAACCTACCCTGTCTGGGGCCAGGAGGGCCATCCTAGTCACGATCCATCCTCCCTGACTTGTCCCTAGGACGAAGGCTTTCTGAATCCCAAAGTGATCCATAACCTGTAAAGCCATGTGAGCAGAATCCCAGTACGTAAAATGTTCCGAGGGAGAAGTGGTTGAGCCATGACCTAGTGGCTCAATGGCCAGAAGATTCATAGCATCGGTCAACACCTCGTTGTTGAATTGATCATGGTAGAGAGACACGGTCATGCACATCGAATTGACGAGCACGCATGTCGGCTTGGAAGGATCATAATGGTTCTTCGAGAAGGCGTATCCAACCTTGATGCCACCAAGGTGTGGAACTTCGATAGTTTGAAGCGCAGCCATTTCGTAGTCAGTGGAATTCGAGAGGATTGTGTGATTTATCTACAACATACCATGGAAGGGGGAGGGGGAAAGGAAGAACTCAATATGCCACCCGCCAAGTTAGCCCCTCCAGACTCTCCTTGTCCGTAAAACACACTTACTCTGTATGAAGTATGTCAATTCCGAGAGATGTACAAGGCCCTCGGATTTTCGTCCCAAATTAGTGATTGATCTCCGACTGACCGTGTGGAGTCACTTCCACAGACCAGTTTGTCGGGATTTGATTCACTTTGGCACAATCAACGACAGCAAGGCCCATTGTATTCTATACTAAACTTTGGAAAAGGTGGGGCCGAGCACTTTCTGAGACTTTACAGTGTATATCAGTTTCCGGATGGGGACATTTGTGACGACATCGCCACAATTAGGGGTTTCAAGAGACTACCTTGGTAGATGGTTAGGGGAGCTCCCAAGTTCGGCCAATGCCAGATTACATAAGCGACAATTTTCAATATCAAACAAGACAAACACCTTCATCATTGCATCCCAGCTTGACGGGCTCAAAGCTTTTTGTTCATCATTGCCAGCCATCATGGGAACAGCAAAGGCTCGCGCTCCTCCAAGGACTCCCGCAACACCCACACAACCCTTAGAGACGTCGCGGTATCTTCCCGACAAGACCTTTGTCATCGACAATGGCGCGTACATGATCAAAGCCGGCTACGCTTCTTACGCCCCGGCCTCCGACGAAAGCGTTTCCGCATGCTCGTCGATACCTAATGCCCTCGTCAAAACCCGTGATAATAAGATAGTTATCGGTGCACAGCTAGCGACCGTCAGCGACTGGAATGAGGCCATGTTCCGGCGCCCGGTGGAGAAGGGATATGTTGTGAACTGGGAAGCCGAGAGAGAGATTTGGGATCAGTCTTTCTTTGATGGAAAGGCAACGGCTCGGAATCGGAATCATCATATCGCAGACCCGGAAGATACCACCCTTGTGCTTACGGAGGCGCCGAATGCCTTGCCCATTTTACAACGGCACGCTGATGAGATGGTTATGGAGGAATGGGGGTTTGGGGGATATTCAAGATGTTTGGGTACGGCAGTCCGACTCTTTGGTGCCGCATATGGTCCCGTGCTAACTTGAAGTCTTTAGGTCCAACCCTCAACGCATGGAACGAAATCCATTCTCTCTTCGGTGATCCTCTCTCCAATATATCCGACGCTCCTATCTTGCCCGCAGATTGCTTACTGGTTGTCGATTCTGGCTATTCACATACCATAGTGACTCCAGTTTATAAAGGCCAAGCTCTTCAACGCGGAATTCGCAGACTCGATCTTGGAGGCAAGCACCTTACCAACTACCTGAAGGAGATCGTATCAATGAGACAGTACAACATGGTGGATGAGTCATATATAATGAACCAAGTCAAAGAGGCGGTCTGCTATGTCAGCAATGACTTTGCTGGCGATTTGGAACAAACCTGGAAAAGTGGCCGAAAGCGCCAGAGCGGGCCCGAAGAGGGAATAGTGTTGGACTATGTGCTTCCAGATCCGAACGCAAACAAGAATGGCTTCATTCGATCGCATGATCCTCTTCTTCACGCCAAAAAAAAGAAAGGAGCGGCTTCCGGACTCAGCACAGAGGTGTTGTCGGAGGATGTGCTAGTGCTAGGGAATGAGCGCTTTTCTGTACCGGAGCTCCTATTCAACCCCGGAGATATTGGCATGAAGTCGGCCGGTATCCCCGATATGATTCTTCAAAGTTTGTCGGTTCTGCCCACTGGCTTGCATTCTGCCTTCTTGGCGAACGTTCTCGTTGTCGGGGGAAATGCTTTGATTTCAGGATTTATGGAAAGACTGTGGGTTCCCGAAAGTCAATTGATTGAAGTTCCTCTAACAAACTTGACTTTTACAGAAAAATCGAATTGCGACAGATTGCCTCTGCTGAATGTGTCGTGAGAGTTCGCCGGGCTGAGGAGTGAGTGGTCATCCAATCTGGGTTTTTTGACTTTGAAAGTACTGACATAACTAGCCCTATCCACTCAACATGGCTAGGAGGTACTCGTCTTGCTGCAAACAGAGAGGAACTCAGCAAGGTATCCATCACTCGCCAAGAATATCAAGAATATGGGTCAGGGTGGGCTGTTCGACGATTTGCCGGCCTTGTTTAAAGTCCAAATCGCCAGAACTATCTTTGTGGGCACAAGTATGGGAGTTTTTAACGATGGCCGAAATCTACAACAATTATAGCATTTAGTGATACCCTAGTTTTCAGAGTTGTGGTCAATGTACAAAATCTTTTGGAACGAATATGCAAATTAGTTCAAGGCTGGAACACCATTCTCTTCACATTACGATAGAATTATTCGCTCTACTTTTGAAATAAGCTGCGCTTGCCTGGTCAAGAAATACCCAGATCCATGGACCCACGCCTGTTCCCTTTGATCACCTCCATGTTAGGGCTATTAGCCTGAACACTTTTAATCTCCTATTCTCCTATTTTGTTTTATGAGTCAACAGAATAAAGCAGACATCCATGACGAGTTAGTCTCGCTGAAGCCCTCTTGATACACTGGCTTCATGACAGCAATCCCCTAGAATGTAGCCGTCATCCTACAATTAACTATGGGCCCTTCAGGAACAAGAAAGATAATAGTGTTTGCCCATCCATGGGTGAATTTTCGATCCCTCTACGACCTGAAAGATGAGGCCGCACCGTAAATTTCTATATAAGACGTCCCTGGACTCTCAGGTCTGGCCATGCACTTCGTCCCTCTTGGAAGGGCCCAGTACCAACCCCAAGAGTTGCTACCAAAGACACGGCAAAATGGCCAACAGTCGCTCGTCCATCCGACAGCTCCTAGAATACATGGGTCGAGCATTCAAATTCAGGAAATTTACCGAGGAAGTAGGCCTGTCAGTTAAGCTCAAAGACAATCGAAAGCGAATGAAAAGCAATCTATTAACTCTTCACAGATGCACAGGGTGCTACCAAAAGGTCCCAACATGCAAACTATTTATTGCCCCCTGTGAACACCGATACTGTCCCCCATGCCTCCGGCGAATGTCCTCAACAGCCTTGAACAGCCCGCAAATGTTCCCAGCAAAATGCTGTTGCCAAGAAATCCCCGTACAAGCACTCGTGGCGGTGATGAGCTCTCGAAACAAAAAGCACTATATTGTTCGGCGTGAGGAGAATAATGTTCCTCCTCTAGAGCGCCTGTACTGTCCTCGGGCGAAGTGTGCCCGATGGATTCCCCCAAAGAGCCCCGGGCCACGGTTAGGATATCGCGTTTGTCCTTATTGCCGGGCAAAGGTTTGCCCTAAGTGTGGGGACTTTTTCCATCTCGGTTGGCCATGTAGTCATGACTCCGAGACGAAGGCGACGTTGCGACTGGCAAAGGAGAATCGTTGGCAGAGATGCTCCAACTGCCTGTATTTGGTTGAGAAGGTCGATGGATGTAACCACATCATTTGTAGGTGTGGCCACTCATTTTGGTATGTGCATGTGTGTCTGTCCCCAGGGAAATATTAACGCTAATCGGAAAATAAGTTACCTATGTGGTCAAAGCGGCCAATGCAAATGTCCCTTACGTGATGGTGAGGATGAAGACCTGGACACAGATGGGGATCTTGATGCTAATACGGTGGTCGCTGCAATGGAGCAAGCAGAACCGGCAGGTGAACCTTGTGGGTTGGAGGGCGAGGCTTAGAGAATAGATGACGGTGGGTAATCAATAGTTATTTTCAGCAAATCGCGATCTAGATCAATTTGATACAGAAAGGGTATCTTGATCGAAATGCTGTTTTTCTCCATCCAGTACACAGACAGCGGCTAGTAGTCGTAGAAACCCTTGCCGCTCTTCTTGCCAAGCCAGCCAGCATCCACCATGCGACGCAGGAGACCAGCAGGTCTATACTTGCTGTCGCCGGTCTCCTGGTGCAGAACGTTCATGATTGCAAGGCACGTGTCGAGGCCAATGAAATCAGCCAAAACGAGGGGACCCATGGGCACGTTGGTGCCAGTCTTCATGATGTTGTCAATGTCCTCACGGCCACCGACCCCGGTCTCCAGACAAATCACTGCCTCATTAATATAGGGCATCAAGATACGGTTGGCAAGGAAGCCAGGTGTATCGGCCGATACAGAGGCCACCTTACCCATACGCTGGACAAAGACAACGGCAGTGTCCATGGTCTCCTGAGAGGTTTGAAGTCCGCGGACAATCTCCACGCCTTTCTGAATGGGGACAGGGTTCATGAAGTGGGTTGAGATGACCCGGGAGGAAGCCTGAATGTCGGTGGGATCCGCGCTGGTGGCAGCAGCAATCTTGGTGATGGAGATGGAAGAGGTGTTTGTTGCGAGTATGGCATGTTTCGGAGCAATCTGGGCCAAGCTGGCAAATATCTTTGTCTTCAGATCCGGAATCTCAGGCACAGCCTCAATGACGAAGTCGACAGTGGAGAGGCCCTCCAGCGTCAAGCTTGTAGAAATAAACCCACGAGCTTCATCAGCTGCCTCTCGAGTGAGGCGCTGCTTTGCTACGTCCTTTTCGAGTAGTTTATCTATTATTGAATGCCATGTTAGATAATCCTGGGCGATTGCAGTAAATTAATCTGGAGCCAGGCGAACCGGCAAACTTGAGGCCCTTATCCAAAGAGGCCTGTGAGGTATCGACGAGAGTTACCGGAATCTTTGCCTTCTGCGCAGCAACAAGGGCAATCCCCAAGCCCTAAAATGGTCAGACCTGGAGGGTGGTTGCATAAGCCATGTTACACACCATTTGACCTGCGCCGATCACACCCAGTGACTTGACCTCGGCTGCGCGGACTGCGGAGGTTGAGCAGAAGTTTCGGGCCGCCACAGGGCCCCTGTGAAAGGAATCAAATCGAAGAATACAGGTACGCATAATTTTTATGGATTCTGGACCTATGGGAAAAAAGAAGTAAAAGTGGTGAAGGAGGTAAGTATGAGAAAGCAAGTCGGTAAACTAGACGTGCTTTCGGACGTCATGGTATGGTAGACGACAGTGGCCATACAAGCATGAATCTCACCGCCCTGTACCCCCAACTAAGTGCTCAGTTTGAAATTGTTTCTCTGTCAAATTACTTTGAGCTCACGCGCAATGTTATAGAGCGATGGCTAGTTTGACTAGAAATAATGGGGCTATCTGCTAACCATATAATTTAGAAGATGGACCCCAGGGGGAGTTTGAAGCCCGAAATTCAAAGTTGATCTCGACACTGTACAAATGAATGAAAAAAAAACAAAAATTGTATTCATTGAAACCTTGCTAATAATTTGTGGAATAAAATGAAAAAGGCAAAAAGCTTGCTCTTGAAGGCCATTTCCACTCCACAAACATTTCAGAGCCGCTTCATGCTTTCAATCAATGCATCACGGTCGTCAGGACTAGCGTCTTGAATATCCGTCCCAAGGATCATACCTGCCTGTAGATTGCGAGACTCATTGGCTGAAATCATAAAGGTCTTATTCGTAACAAACTCATCAGGGAGCTCACATCCCGAGACACAACGAGCGAGGGTCTAGAGGGTGGACTTGTTCAAATATTCACCACCGGACGGCCAGAATCATCGAGCCTCCACCTTTTCAGTTGTATCACCGAGATTCATTCACTTAGCGTGGAGGTAGGAGATCAGGAAACGGATATAGAGGTATCTTCGGCGAAGGTGATTCTCAGAAAGAAAGCTCAAAATGCGGTCATCGAGGTGCTACACAGCTGTTAGCCTGTACTCTTCCATTTTGTGCCTAACGATAGACCGACCTTGACCTTGATGACTTCCCCTGAATCCCTCGTGTTAACAAAGTTTTCGTTTTTCGACTCATCCAACACAACGCATCTCCACGTGGTTGGCTCAGTCATCGAGCCAGGAATTGGAATGATAGCAATCACCCCTTGGTTGAGTAGGGACTCAATGGGATTGCATAGTAATAATACTACAATTTTCGTCAGATCAGTCTCATCTCAAACGAAAAGGGTATATATACCATTGCGTGGATCAGAGAGCACACCGTTCTGAGCTCCGAAAATATGGGACACTTCTGCTTGGCTCAAGGACTTAGGCACCAGATGAGCTGCCTTGACTGAAGGGGCGGGTAGGAAAAATCCGAGAACTTGACAGAAAGATGTCTCTCTCACACACTCGGTCGGCAAGCCGTAGTATCGATTTACTTCCTTCTTGAAGATTTTCTGATCGAAGGCGTATTTCTGAATCTCCGCAGCCGCGCCCATAATACGTGGGATAATCGTATTAACGTATGCCCTCTCAACAAATCCATCGTCTGAGGGTCCGCTGATCCTTCTACGCTTGACCTCCCCTTCTAAGTCTTCCTTGATTAATATCCGTTGGCGCTTGAGCACATTGAGAGTCCGCGACGTTGCCCGGAATCTTCTCAAGACAGGATCGATCTCTGTCCGGAAAGCATCAATGCCGAGTAGCCCTGAAGAAAAAATCTCATCAAGGCCCTGTTTGATGCAACTGATGTATTCCTTCTCGTCTTCAAGTGCAGCAATCTTGGCGTCAAGGAATTCCGATGTGGTTGACCGCAGCGAGTATTGCGAAACGTGAGAGAGTTTTTATGAATTGCGAACCGATCTCTCCTGATGGCCATGCAAAGCCTGACGGCGGCTTGCTGGCATCTGAGAAGAAATTCTCTCCGGGACTAGGAAAGGGATCCTCTCTGGCATCTTGAATAATGAAACAAATGGTAGTTAAAGATGATATTTATTAACGAAAGCAAAGACAGAAAGAAGAAGAAGAAGAAGTAGAGAGGGTAAAATGGAAGGAGAGTTGTATTTAAGTTCGTAATGATAATGATATCCGAATCAGGCAAGTCTCATGTTCTATTCCTGTTGTCTTCTTCCTGCTGTCCTCTTCCTATCGTACTCTTTCGATTGTTCTACTTCGTTTCAGGTTGTGAATTTTCGTTGCCTACCGACGCTCTATTAGGCATCGCACCCGCACCCTTTTCAAGTTGCGGCACACATATCTAATCTAACTGGGTCTACTCTTTCTTGGAACCAATTTTTCAATTGGGGAGTCATGCATTATGGTATCCCAATAGTACAAAGCACAGCCCCTGGATCACTCCAGCCACAGGATGATCTGCTCCATGCCCTGCCCCATAAGTATTGATTGATCTGATCCCCAATACTATCGGGCCATGCTTCCATTAAATCACATGATCTGTGTACTACTATCGTGTGGTCCCTAACGGATGTTAGGGCCTGATATATATGCCACTGCAATGACAAACAGATGTTCTGTTTGTCCTTATGATCTTTCGGCCTAGTCAGCGGTTAAATGGTCTTACTTAATCCATCAGGAGTAACTAGCGGCCTGATTTGTCTTCGGGATTACAATCGCGAGAGTTGAAGTCGTATCTCTAGGAGCAAGTGGCAAACAGCAAGAGCGATATTCCGTTGTTATTTAAGCGAAAGCGAAGAAAAATCCGAACAAAACAATAACATGAATCGATAAGGTATCCAATTGGGGGTTTCTGAGATATTTCTAGATATTATAGAAATAAAAATTCATGGTTGGATACTGTCCGCAACTATGTAGAAATGGTATCGCCTAGACAAGTCTCGGCGAGTGGAATAGTGGTATAGCCGCAGAATAGTAAACCCAAATAAATAGGGCCCACTATCAATTTACCTCCCAGCTGGAGGCGAAACGACCAGGATCGATCGACAAATTCATGACGACAGCTTGTTGTTGAGAGGAAACGGTCAAGAGTTCTGGTGAACAACTGTATTTGGATGGGACTAGCGTGGTGCATTTTATTGAGGTGCATTGCTGACTTGGCTGCTCCCGCGATTTGCTTATGTCATGCTCAGCAAGTGGATCAGGCTGCTTAGGTGGTGGTTGCTCAGTGAGCAAAAAGCGGCAAGGACTAAGCACTAACATGGAAGGTGAAAGCCAAAAGAAGTGGTAGAGGAAATTAAGTACGTCTGCGGAGTACAGAGAACTATCTGACTATTCAGCCAGATATTGCCAGATATTGCCGCAGTGGCCGTTAATTTTTGGCGTAAGAGCATCGGTTATCTTCGGCACTTTGGCGGTGTCCAGTTTCTCCGAACAGCCGAAGCCGAACACGCGTCGACGCGTTCCCATTCAACTCGATTCGGGAGTCAAATGAATGGGGTATCAAACTAGCCCACTATGGATGAAGAGGTTGTTCCTCTAGGACACGACGTGCAAGTCGTGGATCCAGACGTGCGGAACTATGTTTACGGCCTAGTTACTGCTGTGAGTCCACTTCCACTTTCTCTGCCTGGCTCCAATTCACTTACACGATTGGGTATCTAGCTCGGAGGGTTCAATGGCGAAAACGCCGACCAGTATGTGCTCGGAGACGATGCGCTGGCATGTCTACGTGATATTAAACGCTGGCTGAAATTGCATGATGAGAAGAATAACCGGATGGACGTTGCACGGTGCCTTGGAGAGGCCAACTTGATCAATGGTGATCTGCTTCCGATCCTCTCGCTCTGGTGGGCCAGTGGACAGAACAGTAAGCATATGACTAGGATCTCCCTGGCATGCTTGGAGCTTCTTGTTCCCTTAACATGGCCCGTGGAGTTTCATAGCCAGATGACAGTCAACCACCATCGTCATACCCCCTACATCCAACAGGCACAGGTGCAATACAAGCGAGGTATCCTCAGATCTGGGGGATTGAATCTTGTCCGTGCAGTCATTCGAATTTCTCTTCCAAGCATGGCGATTCCCCGATCCGAACGCGGAACCCGAGACGAAGGAATCCTCAAGTTGATGTTGTACTTGCTACGAAACATTGCGATCATATCTCCCAATACCCGACTTGCGGCAGAAGGCGACGAGGAAGAGACATCTAGATCGGCAACGATCAACGCCTTCCATGAGCAAGATGCGTTTGCACTTCTCCTGACTATGTGCTCTAATGTTGGCGAGGACTTCAACTTTCAAGACGTTCCTCTGATGGAAACAATTTTCCACTTAGTCAAAGGTGTCAACGTTGAGAAATTGTTCATGGACGATGAGCAGAGAACGGCCAAGCGAACTGACGAACTCAGTGACCTGCTGAAAAAGGAATCCCTGGTACGAAGGGAATATGCAAAGAATGCACCCACACGTCATGGGAGATTCGGCACAATGATCTGGGTCAAGCGAGACGATGCGAAGGTGTCTACTGTGTCTGGGCAAGGTGTCTTGCGTGACGATCAGACCACGCTGCAAAAGATGGACGAAAGCAAAAAGTGGAACAAGCCTCGGTCTCGCCGCAGACAAGACGATGTAGTCCAAAACAACAACTTCAACATGCCAGCTCATCTTAATTCGGAGGCAACCAAGAACCTGAGCACTTTTGTGGAGGAGTTCCTGGATTCGGGGTTTAATCCTCTATTCACTCAAGTGCGAAAAGCAATCGAGCGTGAAGCTGAGCGTGTGGTTCCAGTCAACTATCGCCAATTCTTCTACACCGTGAGTTGGTTCCTGGAAGCAGAGCGCGTACGACGGACTCGAAAACTTCGCCATCGCACGGCCCAGAAAGGAGGAAGAACCAAAGATATTGAACCCGATAGCTATGGTCTGATCGCTGGCGTCCTGAACCAAGAGATGTTCATTTCATTGAACCGGGCTATGCAAAATAGCCTAGACAACAAGGAATGGGAAGACCTCAATGCCCAGATGCGCTGCTTCACCCAGATTCTGTTGACTGTCCAGGAAATGGCTGCGTCACCACTTGAAGAAGATCAGGAAATTGCGGAAAACATTCAAAACCGAATTTTCTACGAGGAAACAACCCATGACCGGATCCTTACTATTGTGCGCGGATACAAAGACCAAGGTTTCGGCTATCTAGATGCTTGCACGGAGTTAGCACATGTGTTCCTGCGAATGCTGGAACGGTATTCCAAAGACAACGCCGACATGCAAATCCGCTCGCGGCGAAAAGCCAAGAAAAGACAGAAGAAGGCTACCCAAGCCGCCGAGCAAGAGGGAGGAGATGATGACGAGGAGCGTGACTCCGAAGATGAAGACATGGAGGAAGTCGCTCAGGTCGCCAAAGAACGCGGCTTTGACTTTAAGCGATTCGCAGCCAAGTTCTGCAACCAACACTGCGTGGACACCTTCATTGCGTTCACAGGATTGTACCGAGAGCTTAACTCTGAGCAGCTCAAACGCGCCCACCGTTATTTCTACCGAATTGCCTTCAAGCAGGAAATGACTGTCTTGCTGTTTCGTGTCGATATTATCAGTCTTTTCTATCGAATGATCAAAGGCCCAGGGTCCATGGATTCGAGTAAGCCTGTATTTAAGGAATGGGAGGAATTGGTCCGGCAAGTTATTCGACGACTGGTCAAGAAGATTGAGCAGCGCCCCGCCTTGATCACTGAGCTGTTGTTCAGTAAGATCAATTCCACTATCTACTACCTTGAATATGGACACGAGAAGCAAACCATGTCCTCCTATACGCGTCCACCGCCGGAGCTTGTGATTACATCGACGGAGGCAACGACGAGAGAGGCGAAACTCTACATTGTGATTGGTGCTCTTGTTCTCGATGGTAGAGCAGATCTGGTTATTTGGATCAAGGATGTCTTGAGTTCTGCAGCCTCCGAAAGAGAGGACTTGGAACTCCAAGAAGAAGTCCGCCGCGCCGAAAACTCCGAGATTACCAGCGTTCCCAGTCCAATGATTAGTATGTTCCCCCCCAAATCCTGTTTCTCAATTGGTACTAACAACGAAATAGCTGTGAAAGGCAAAAATGAGTTCGTTCAGAATGCCATGTTTTCGAACGCAAAGCTACGTCTGCTCATGACCGTCGTCGGATTCGAGCGACTCGGCGTTGAAGATGTGTTTGGTGCCTCTTGGGTTGTTCCAGCCTCTTTCAAGTCCGACGACTTGCGTGAAACGATTTCAGAAATCCTGAAAGCCCTTCAAGGCCCGTTTGCCGGAGATGGCTATGCTGATCCTCGCAAGCAGATTCAACCAAAGAACAGAGGAACCGGTCGCGGCAACATGATTCAAGGCACGCTCGGTGTCAATTTTGGATCGGAGTCCGAAGGCGAGGATATTCCAGATGGTCCTTTGTTCCCGGCGAATCTGCGGTCAAAGTCTAGTGCGCTGGATGACCTCAAGAAGAAGCGTAAGAAGAAGCAAAAGGCCACCACCGAAAAGGAGCCGCTGGACGACGAAATGCTAGAAGCGCGGCGCGAAGCGCGTTTATCAAACGCACTTTCACGCCAAGCCAAGATCAAGAGCGATCTATTCATCCATGCTAGTGACGAAGAAACCGACGAAGAAGCCGACAAAGAGTTCTTCCGGCTCGAAGAAGAGCGGCGAGTCAAGCAGGCAAATGAAATCAAGAAGGCCTTGCTCACTGGAACCGTCGAACCCTCAAGCAAGGGCAAAGGGAAGAAGTCCGCCGCCCGCAAGCGAAATAGCGATACTGGCACTTCTGCGGCCGCAAAATCCAAGCGGCAACGTCGTGATTCCGGTTCTACTGCTAGCGACCCAGAGAGTGATGCCGAGGGCGATGTTCTCATGGCGGAACTTGACGCTCAGTCGTCCCACTCCCAGCAGGATATCTCTCCTAGCCACGGCGCCGGAGAGGATGAAGACACTCCTATCACGGGCGAGGATGACCTGGCCTTTGATGACGATTTCGCCTTCACCCGAGATCCCCCGAGCAAGCCCCAAGCCACGGAGCCCGAGGCTATGGATGATGAAGAGGAAAATGCGCCTGTGGCTCCAGCCCGGAGACGAATGCGCGGTGGATTTGTGATTGAGAGTGACTCTGAATAGCCGTCTCACTGTAATATTTGTTATTTGTTTCGATAATGATGACCTGATGAGGCGTTTGGCATTGAGATGGAGACGGAATTGTAAAGCATCAGATACCTAAACTCAATGAGAACAATTTTACGACCTAAGAGCTCCTATCTGCCCAGTCATCGACAAAGCTATGGAAAATGCGAGCTTCCTCACATATGAGATCTGTTCAGCCGCATGGAACCCATCTTTTGTAAGAGTAATTTCTCTTTCTACCAATTTTATGGATGAAAGCAATACTCTGACAGCAGCGTGCCTCCGCACAAGCTTCCGCTTTTACTGTAGCAATCCTCGCAGACACCCTCCCCTTGAAAGTCCACACATGCGACTGCAGCGTCTGTCACTTTATCCATGGCATATCATGTATGTTCCACACCCCGCTACCAGCGGGCGTAGCACAGCAGTTCATCGCTTTGTCCACGATGGATAAATTGACAGCCTAAAACCTTTTTTTTTTCCACCGAGTCCCAGGACGGCTGCTACATTGGGGATAGGCCACACGATGATGGGAGCTGGGTGATATCTACGTCTATCTTCACTAAGCCAAACCGAGGTCTATGGGAGAAGCGCTTGCTTTTTTTTAAACCTCTCGCTTGACAGAGAGCTGTCGGCGATGTTCTCGCATGATGGGGGTCGGCAGCTTGGTATCTTTAACCCGGAGACGTCACTGGATGCTAGCCAGGCTGCAGACAGTACCCGAACAGACGCAGTCTAAACCGATGCCGAAGACTTGCGCGCTGAATATCACTGCGGTGACGTTTCTCTTTCTATCGTCCGTCCCAAAGGGTATTCCTCGCTAGTTCTGCGAGCGAGGGATGGGTTCTATCAAGAGATACAGGCAAGTGGCTTGCGCTTCTTGATCTCTATGATGACTGCTGATTAGTCGATGGGTCGCTTGTTTTAGCTTGCATGTTCGTTCCGGCTGATCATACATCCCACTCTCCATCCGGGAGTTTGATTGTTGGGTCGTCGAAAAGTTACACGTCGATTGAAGAGGTGCTCCGGACATTCGTGTGGTGCGACGGTGTTTAATAGCCGTGCCGACCGGCCGGGGGGTCTGCCGGAAGATTTAAATTCTCCCACGAGTGTAGAAGATCATGAGATGTTGAATGTGATTCTTGCAATCCACTAGATGTTCCGCTGTTTAGATAACTGAATTGTTCTAGAGACATCGACTATTTCAAGTGTGGCGTCAAGTTCGACGATGAGTCAAAGTGGGGGGGGGGAGCTTAAAAAGGCTGCAACTATAAAAACCATCAACCCCGTTGATATCGACATTCGACATATCCCAATATCCCAACATGACTCACCTCAAATTTGTCACCCTTGATGTCTTCACATCAACCCCCTACTCTGGCAATCCACTTGCAGTAGTCTTCCTCCCAGACGACTCAAACGCTCTAACCCAGGGCCAGAAGCAAACCATCGCGCGAGAATTCAATCTGTCAGAAAGTGTCTTTGTCCACCCAGTGCGCGAGAAAAGCAAGCGCACCATCGACATCTTCACCACAGACTGTGAAATCCCCTTCGCTGGCCATCCCACAATTGGTGCAGCGTCCTGGTTCCTGAGCCACTCAACTGACCCCGCGGATGGCGAGGGCGTAACCAGCCTTACGACCAAGTCCGGCGACATCTCAATCTCAGTCCAGAATCACGAAACCAAATCCGTCTCTGCGCAGATTGCGCACAATACACGCATCCATACCGCGCGGTTCAGCCTGAAGGAGTTGGTTAGGCTGCACCCGACGCTGGTGCCGTTCTTCACGCAGCCCGATATTACGTTCCCGCTCTTTTCAATTGTCAACGGGATGAGCCAGTTATTTGTAGAGCTTCCTTCGCTTGAGGCGCTGGCTGCTGTGACGCCTGCAACCGGTGGTGAGCTGGTTTCTACTGATTATCTTGATGAGGGGTGGCAGGCTGGGTTGATCTGTGTGTACTTCATTGTTCGGGACGTTGAGGATAGTGTCTCGAACAAGAAGGTTATTCGGTCCAGGACGATCTTGGGAACTCTAGAAGATCCGGCCACTGGCAGTGCGGCTAGTGGGTTGGCGGCGTACTTGACGCTTACCGAGGGCAAAGCTGGTCAGAATCATCAGTACCATGTTGTACAGGGTGTTGAGATGGGACGCCGGAGTGATATCGGTGTCGGGGCCAAGTTGGATGGCGACAAGAAGATTGAACAGGTCATGCTGACAGGCACTGCCATTAGCGTGTCAGAGGGCAAGGTACTGGTACCTCAGGCCTAAATAAATTGGAAGCTCTAGGGCTTTTAATGAGTGATAATGCAATGCTCTCCTGGAGTCTCCCAATGTAGTATGCTGCGCCACAGGTCCTGTGTAAATGTTTATCTTTGAGTCCCCGCAAGGCTGAAAGCTGACTGAAATTCATAGAACGTCGTATTTATTTGGCTGTGAACTAGATTTGATGGATCTTATAAATGCCTACAATCCGTATGAGACTAGACCCAGATCCCCGTCCCCGAAATAGAGAAGGCCCCCAATAAGCAAACTGCCATAACAACGTCTAGAATCAGCTACAAGTTCTGATATTCCAGTAAGCCAGTGGACGCAGCCGCAGAAAAACGTCTACTTCTGTGACAATTGCTATTGGGGTTTGAATGGAGGCATGGAGGGGATTCCGTGCATGAGGTCTTGGCCATGTCTATGCGGAAGGCGTGACAATCTAGCCATTCTTCTTGCCAGCAAACGGTTTCGGAACGATGCCGCACCGATCTTCTGGGCAGAGAACTGGTGTGCCTTGGAGCAACCCTGTCTCCTAACGGGGTTCTTGGTTGCTATTCGTCCGCAAGTGAGATCATGGTTAAGACGCATATCGTTTATGCCTATCTATGCTTACTATCATGATGAGTACGCTGATTACATTTCCACAGTGACGGGATTCAATTTGGAATGGATGGGATGATATCAAGAGTTGCTGGAATTTAGTGAGACTGTGCGAGAGGCTGACAGAGTTGAAACTTGATGTGCGGTTTTTGATGCGCAAGGAGTGGGCTCAGGCTACTCAACGAATTCGTGTCAAGAGATAGGTTGCCTTTTTCAGCCACTTGGACCTAGATGACGTTGAAGATGTACCTGAAGACTTACCGGACTTTGGATGGGAGTCGCATGCTCCAAGGAAACGATTCGACTTGCCCACGACCGCTTCGCTTGCTTCTAGCATGACTGGCAAAAGAGCCATCAGAAGAAAAGCTCTACCAACTATTTACTCCGAAACACACTACGACAAAGATGTGGCGATTGCAGGGTCGAATTTACCGAGAACCTGATGGAGGACTGAACCGGGATTTCATAAATAGCGTGGTGTTAAGTAGGGTGGGTTTCCGCCACTCATCAACTTCAAAGATTATCCTTCTCAACCAACTGCCTCAGAACCTTGATTGTCCCCTCAACCGCCATCTGGCTCATCTTCTTCTCCTTCTCGAGTAGCGCCGCCAGCTCCACTTCCGAGACACCGGAGTGTCTCCATTCGAAGATGTACGTCATGTAGAGCTCTCCACCAGCTCCTTGGCTGATAACATTGCTGATCTTGCTTCCATCCGGCTGCTCAAACTCTACACGGGTGGGCTTGAAGGCTGTAACGGTCTCTTGGACGGTTTCCTGGGTTTCGCGGAATAGGACATCACGAACGGTCACAGCGTTCCCCGTCAATGGGTCAATGGAATCACTAATGACCTTGGTGGATTGGATTGCTCCGGGAACAAATGTCTCCGCGGAGCGGATCTTGAAGAGGAGACCGTTCCAGACTTGTTCGGGGGTGATGACGGGTGTTGCACCTGGTGGGTTGATCGGGGCGGTGAAGGCGATGTTGTTGGCCGAGGACATTTTCGAAGAATGTGAAAGGGAATTATCTCAATGATTTAGATCAACGTTGTGAGGACTTGTGACCAGCAATTCTGTCTGAACTTGAAGGTCCTAAATATTTGATGTTCGATCTATGACGAAACCGACGCTAAGGTTCGTGCACTCGGCGTTAAAGCGGGGACCGATGAGCTGGATTTCTAATGGGGGTTTTTTGGCCTTAGATATCAGGCCTGTGTCTAGCTGAATCGGAACAAGTGGTCTTTATACACCAGAAATTATCCATTAAAGCTTTTGGATATCCATGGACAGAATGAGATTTTGCGAAGCATGAGGGGTTGTGGGTCATAACGACCCTCCAAGCAAGTGCTCATATTCTAGGGCAATCTGTAAATAGTTACATTCATCTGGAATGGCCTAACACTCAAATTGGAAAACAAAACAACCTTGACTATCAAGTATATATGACTATGAGATATGCCTTTTTTTGTATTGCGATATTGGCACAACGCACTAAAATGCTGGACAAGATTTGCATTTCAATCATCGTGCCAGGGATTCCTTTTTTTGTCTTATATAATTCAAACAAATCTTATAAATGACCTCCCAGTCGTGACGAACGTGGAAGCTGTGAATCAATTGGCCGGGCGGATAGCAGGGCAGTAGATTCTCGTTTTCAGGGAAGTATCTCTAGTATTCATAGGATCCAATGTGTGGACAGCCATGCCCTATAGGAGAGAGGGAAGAGAGAGTGTGCAAGTTAGATACTATTTCGGAAATTAGAATTTTGCTAGGAACGGAGAGATCGTAACATTTTCCGAAATTCTGTGTAAGATGACTCCATAATATACATCCCTAGATAGTTCGGAAAATCAAGGCTAAGAGATTAGGGTTGTTCTAATGTGGGGTGATGGACCGGAAGTCTGTCCCATATCTCCTACGGGACAAATTTCTCTTATAGATCTACTGATACGAAGCCAGAGGGGAGGAACTTCTTGTTGATAGTCACAGGTAATAATCTATGGGAACAACAACGTATGCATCAATCTCGAACGAAAAGGACAAAACCCGCTGTTTTTCCAATCTAGGCAAGTCTCAAAACTATAGTCGCTCAGTCCCTCTAGTGTACAATCCAGACCGATTCTGACTCCGATTGGTCACGCACTCCACTAGCTCATCTACTTTCCGAAGAACAGCTCCTATAGCCAGTTTATCACAATGAGAATTCAGTACGACAGCTGTAGCGCAAAAAAAATTAGAGTCATTCTTTCCGATGCACTCAATATCCCGCATCTTAATGGCATTTCCCATAGTGAATGGCTACGCCGTATGCGCCAATTCCCACCCAGTCTGATGTTGGCTAATCCAGAGGCTAGGTTGGCGGACTTTACTTATACGGACTTTTTGTGTATAGCACGCGGTGGAATGATTCGGGATACGGCTTTCACTGAACAGCTTTCTGAAGTGCTCAGGAGCTTGGGACCGATTGAGGAGTCACCGATTAGGAGTTATCTACAGGCATGGAAGGCACCCGGACGTTCACACTTCTCAGATTTGGTGCTTGATTTGGGGCTGACTTGGGCGTAGAACACATTTGATATGGGCGGTTTGTTCTTTGGTAAAAGCTAGGGTTTCATAATTCACATTACACGTATGTTATGTGTCGGTCAAACATCTGTTCCCACCAACCCCTGCTTTCTTCCTCGTAACCCCATCGTCACAGTTCAGTTCGCCAGAGTAATACTGGTAGAAACACACATCCCTATAGGGGGGTTTCACAGAATGTGAGTTCCACTGTGGAGAACGTAGTGGAAAATGGCCAAAATCAAACCCAGATGGTAGGCGAATTTAGGAACAGCGGTCAAATTTGCACCTCCAAAACTAACCTAAGTCACAGTTCTTTTTCCCGCCCAAAAGCGGAAGTGAGAGCAACTACAACCTAGGCTAGACATTGGGGCCGAAGAAGGAGTTGATTATTAAGTGCAGTAGAAAAGATAAGCTTCTTCAAGTTTCCCTTTTGCGTGGTCGGAGGCCTGATTATGGGAGTTAGACAACACCGTGACACATCCGTTCAGAGGAAGGAGCTCTCACAAGGCACTCGCTAATGTCAACAACGATTTCTTCTTCTTCTCTCAGAAGCTCCTCTTGTTCGCTGGTGATCTGATTTTCATCGTAGGTCTCTGCTCGATCAAAGTCCAACCATACCACTCTTTCGGTGGTACCTGGAACGACCATCATGTTCCTTGGTTTGGGGTCCCTGTGTTGCACTAGCGCCGTATGTATTTGTTGGATACCCCTGACGATGTTATCCATCCGTTGCTGTGTGTAATTCTCCAGAGTGATCATTTCCAGACCAGTGATGTGCTCCAAGAATATAGCGCTGGGTAGGTATTCGTCGTCCACGAACATTCTCAAGTGGGGCAGGCATGAAGATGGATCAAATTTCCTCATGGAACCTAGGAAATTGGGCACAATGCCACGGTCCCAGAGACCCTTATCTTTTAGTCGGATGTAGGCAGTGGTTTCAAGCACATGTATGTCAAGTTCACGGTCTTCTGGTTCATAATATTCCCGTGGGCCTCTTCCATGATGCTTCGCAATTTAGCATTTCGGTAGTCGAATCCACTCATGCCGGCTTGACTTACCACCTTCATAACACATATCTGGCCGCGGACACTGACTAGAAATTTCACTGAATATTTAGAGGCAAAAAGCTTCCTATGAAAAGAGATTTCCGCGGGGCGTAGGTTTTCGAGGCCCCATGGTGTAGTTATGTCCAGAGACGACAAAGGGATCATGTCCTGGGAGACAAGGCAGATGTTGGCGAAGGAAGAGAGGAGTCATGAGCCAGGACTGGTCACGTGTAGCCCAACCTGGTGGCAAGGTGTGCACAGGTTGTACCTACGCAGCTTGAGGCAATATTTTAGAGCCTGATCTATATCTCGTGTTGCTGGAAGACCCCTGGCGATATGTTCTTAGCTAGAATGGCCATAGAGTCCGTCAAGCTACCCTGGCATCACCCGGTGTCTCTAAGATAATATGTTGAACGAAATACAGCGTACTTTTCCACTAGACCATAACAAAAAGCAAGGTTCCTGTTTATAGCCTAGGGTGGCTATATTTGAGGTTTAGGTTTATGCACATCAAGACATTAGGTCATTTTCTCACCAAAGATTCAAGCCCCATAAATTGAGGAGCAGCAAAAGAAACCCCGGGTACGATCGGACATTTCGCTCAGCCGAGCCATCCAATGTGGTAATCGTCGGATTTATCGGACTTTCCCATTTCGCTACTATCGCAGTACCATGCGGCGAGGACACCTCGCCGAGATGTATATTTAAAGATCCAGTCAACTAGAAAGAGTCTACAAAGCCAGAAACTCTCTTTTGAAAAACTAATATCCAAAACCTACAACCCCAAGGTCCCGTCTTACATCTGCGTCGACCTGGTCGAATGCGACAGTTCCAAGAAATAAGAGCTAGAACAGTTGCCCTGCCACGACAGCCCGGCTGAGAAGGGACACTAATGCATGCACGCCACATGTAATATATTTGGTATAGTTTCAAATTCTTACAACTAATTGATTACAGAAGGAGCTCTGAGCTACAAACTAGTGATTGGTGACTGGGTAGCTTCTAGTACTGGTATTACTAGCAAGCAAAAGCAAGTATGTGCATGCACATTAGTGTCCCTTCTCGGCCGGGCTGTCGTAGCAGGGTAGTCTCTGAGAGCCCCCACAAATCTATTTTTGGGCGGCAGCTTCTAATCAAAGCCTGATTGACACATGCCCCAAGGTGGATGGCTGAGCCCACGGACCTAGCCGGGTTCCACTTCTCGATCGCGAATTGCAGAAGCCGCAGGCAAACGATGTCATACACACACTAGCAACAGCATTGAATGACATTACGGATGAGAAGAAGTGCACCAAGTGCACAGTAGAGAATATCTCGACTCCACTCACGCGCTACGTCAGCGACCTCAGAGCCGCGAAGCGGACTGGGATGTGGTCTAAAGAGGACAAAACGACCTTCAAGGCGGAGATCAAATTTCTGCTTAAGCCAGTCACGAAGGATGTGAGAAGCCCATGGAAAGCGAATGAATGGCCGTATTACCTGCTTTCGGATCGACGTGGCAGTGGCAGGTGCACAGGTGTACACTAGGTGATCTACAATTTTGGATTTTGGATTTGGCGTTTTATGATGATGGTCATCAGACAACGAGAAAGAAATTGAATTGTTATACGTGGAAATAATATTCCTTACCTCGTAAATGTCGACTGTTGTCTGTGCTACAGGTACATTGGCCGCGCTGACTGAGCATCACCCAATCAGACGGCGTGTCCTGTTCCTCAACTGGCCAGGCTATCTAATCTTCCATAGCGATTGTCAACATGATTGAAACTCTGCCCCTAATTTCTGTTGCAGCTTTTGGGATTAACTACCGTGAAACGATGAGAGGATGTTATGGGGTGGCTGAACATCTTGTCAACGTATTGGTTAGGTCTTGGCCTCTTGGATTGGCCTAGTAAAGGGTTGCGACTAATCGACCGCTTTGTAAGTGTGTAACATGATTGCGTACGTATCCATAGGAACGTGGAATGGATAACCTAGTGCTACATACATATTGTTCAGAAGTGACACCAAGTGGGGCTCTAAACGGACACTATCGACTTCGGAAAATAGTTCCCAGTGGTCCTGGCTAGTAGAAAAGCGTACACCCTTTGATGTAATGCAACACAATAAATCTCCCTAATTTCCGTAGACGGCAAAAATCATGTCGTACGCGAGTATCACGTTTTCTACAGCTGAATCAAAGGATTAAAATTATGAGAGCAGATGAAGTATGTGAAATCGATTGTCATAGATTGTCATTAAGGAAAGTGGTTGTTATACACAGGATTCAGCTCATACTCAAAGACATCACTTCATCTTCAAGGGAGAGCAGCAGGGGCGTAGCTCTGGTCAGGCTTGACAACCGCACCGCCAGCGAGCTGCTTATCGGTATAAGCAGGCCAGATGATCTGGCGAGAGTTGTTGTCGACAACAGAGAGAGTGGTGAAGCCATTGTCCGCACCGAACTGGCCGCTCCAGCCAGAAGTGACGGTGTATGCGCCGCAGGTGACGGGGCCACCGTTGGCGCGGGAGGCAGGGCTGCCTTCAACCACGTAGGTGCAGGGAGTGGCGGCACCGGCGCCAGGGTAGATGCTGAAGGTCCAGGTGCAGGAGGTGTCTTGGGGGTTGCAGACACGCTGGGCGTTCTGGATGGTCCACTGAGGGCTGTCAACCATCATGGACTTGACAGAAGTGTCGGCGGGAGCAGCAAAGGATGAGGAGAAAAAGAGGCCGGTAGCGAGAATGAGCTGAGCGAGCTGCATAACAGTGATTGAAAGATACGTTGGTTGGGGTTTTTTCTTCTGGAGGATGTTGATGAGAATGCATAGAGTTAGGGAAGAATGAAGCTATTTAAGTCTTTCCCTGCCATATGTGATGTTTAGTTTGGGCTCATTGCAGGTGATATTCAGATGTTTCGTCAAGCTCGAAATAGAACATTGAAGATCCACGGATGTAACGTCGGGTCAGGCAAGTCCTATACGCGACTCCACAACGGTGTCCAAATTATGCGTGGTCTACGGAGTATGGAGAAGTGAGACAGCCTTACCGGCTATGATTTGTGCATTCTTCTCTGTTACTACCGAGTACTTCTGTATTTTTCCACATGGCTGCCAGCATGAGTTCTGTATTTATCCAAGACATGTTGAAAACCCAACCAATCAGCTGTTGGTGTAGCTCCAGGTTCACCCCGCAAGTGTGGTCACCGATCGAGGACCCTGTGCCACCTCCGCTTGTACGAAGCATTGAGAACCGTGTGGCATGACCGCAAAAGGGTTGGGATTCTATTTCAGATCCCTGTAACCCAGGTTACGAGCCCCGAGATTTTTACGCCACCCTCAGGAACCTTGGAATGGCGTAACGGAAGAATGATGGAAGTTGATTGGGGGCCCGAGGCGGATGATCATTGGATGGGGAGACTTTCTTGGAACAACATTGTCTAGGGCATCCCTAAATGAATAGCCCACATGCCGCCTTCTCCGGACAGCATTCCATACCCGAGATGATAAAAATGGGAACTGTGTGGAGTAAATAGACACCTTTTTTTTTCCCCTAGGTGCACTCCGTACATTAGTCTGTTGTAGATGAGTAATTCGATCGTGAGAAGCCGAACTCCGTTAGGCCCAATTCTATTCTGGAGGGTTGATGCCTAAATCGAGCGCTTTAGCTGATGACCAGTCTTCTTTTTAGTTCTTCTCCCCACATCACAGCCTCAATTTTTCCAAACCACAAACAGGGTACTGCAGAAGTGCCTTCGATTCAAAATTTGATAAACTTTGAAAATGAACGGATCTCAGGTAATCCGGGGCTGCAGTATCCACTGATTTGCTGGCTCTTTGCCTCCGCTCTTTCGTATTCTGTTGGCAGTGACTCCCTCGCCAGTAGCTTTTCGCTAGTCGGTCAAATGAAGAAGTAAGACGGACGCTTTTGTATTGGCTGCTCTTTCTGTTGTGGTTTGAGGCTGTGAGGATTTATGTGTTTATTGGTTCACAGGCCCGAAGCCTTTAGTGGCGCGTTTGACAAATTGATCTCATTCGATTCATTGCATTCAGCTGGCCATGGTCCAACTCTGACAGCGTTTTTCGAAAATTTCCACAGAAAATGCCCAACAAAATTATCCACTGCGTACTAAAGGAGGTGGACAAGAGCATTGCTGGCAGAGGTGGAGTCGCGGTTTTACTGAACAGCGCGCACTTTCCTGTTTTAGAAGGCGGTACCAGTATCTATTTATAAAACTGCCCATTTAGGCAACACTGTCATCCAACAGCACTTTGAACTGTGTGAGCCCGTGGCAAATTCAATCTTGATGACCCATCGTGACGAGCTATCAGGTTGCAAGGGTCGGTAAACCTGGTCAGCGATCGCGCATACTTACAGCGTATTTATATACAGTCACAGGAAAGTCTAGGTCAGGATTGATCTCTATCTTGTGTTGAAAACCCAAGTTAATTCTTCATAAATAACAGATATCTGGGCCTCATTCAACGCTAAACCCTAATTTATTTTATGCATACATCGCTTGATACATACGTCATAGCCTACATACAGAATTCCTACGGAATCGGGAATAGCGGCGTAAATGCAGTTTAACGCCTCTATCACTTATTCCGTCGTGCAAAGGCGAGTATCCCATATCTTAGGATGGCATTTCAATTCAGGCTACATTCAGTCAATAGAATCTAGAAGCATTCAGTACTCAGTACTAACCCCGCTCTTTGAGTTTCTTCTCCATCTGTTAATTCTGATCACAAATGCATATTTAGTTAGTGAGAGATGGATAGATCTATAAGGGTAGAATTGAAGCCATGAATATAGCTTATCCCCAGACATAAAAGAGACAGACACTTTTTAACAATTCCAATTCACACTTTTGTGAAAGATTCTATGGTATTGCATACTGTTTAGCATACTATTTTTCATGAAAGAATTTTATTATCAACATCTTGCTCGGTAAAGAAGTCCCCAAGGCAGGGATAGAATATGATCTTGAATAAGCTTCACTTCTTCTTTACTCGGTAGTATACATGACTTCCGTCCGTAGGGTGTGCTTGACACCCCTAACTACATCGTCTCCACCATGGAACAAGTTCCTTTGCTGAAAAATGAGAACAGACCCTGTTTTAAAAAAAGACCCGAACCATATTCCTCCACTTGATCCCAGCCATGAATGAGGTTGCGCCACCTTGAAGAGCTTCATTCTTCTCCAAAGACTCTGTCGCCGAAGTACAACTCCCATCACCAAATTCAGTCTCCTTCGACTCGACTTCGGCAAGTTTGGTCTGCCAATTTTTTTTGCAAACAGCAAGTTCGTCTTCTCCGCCCACTCAATTTGAGGCTGCATTTCCTCCATATCCTGCTGCCCTTCTCCATTCAAATACAAAAGAATAGCATAAAACGACTTCCCCAGCCCATCAGACGTAACAAAACACGCGTCACACTGATGCCGGAAATAATAACCATCCTCAAAACGCAGGAAACGAAGACGCTCATTCAGCCGACTGAGACAGAGCACTTCGCCCCGTTTCGCTAGCCCAAGGCCTGTAACTAGGGGCTTTCTCTGGATACGGTCAAGTGCACATTCGCGCATGAAAGGCATTCTTCGGTCCAAAATTCTGGCTGTAAGATCGGGCGAATCCAAAATGATTCGTCCGCTTTTTCGCGTGTCGATCGATATTACTTGCCTGCCGCCGCCGGCGTTGACTATCGCTTATTCCTATGTGGGGGAGGGGGCGAGAGGGTTGAGTCTGGAAGTTGACTTCTTGTTGATTCTTCCGCTAGACGGACGATCTCTTTACATTCGGCTTCGGTCATGCCGTTGTCCACTATAGCAGCAGCGAAGTAGCCTATGTATTCGGGTACTGGTGGGAATGTGTGCTCGAAATCGAATTTGTGGAGGGTTGCATTTGGGGCTGGACCTCGGAGGAAGCTATTTACGATCTCTGGGACGGTCATTGTTGCTGTTTTGGTCTCATCAGCTGGGTATATTGCGAACGCCTTTGTGGTGTTGGGGGCTGAGCCTTAAATACCCCAACATTTAAGGCTCTGCTTAGGGTAGCTGCCTGCAACCTCGACCAAGTCTCCTATTAACCTCGAGGCGAAGGGCACAGAATTTTCAATCACACTCTCTTCTAACGCCGGCAACTCTCATCGCACTGCTCAAGCTGGATCCGCAAACTCTGATCTTTGTCACCATCTTTCTAGTCTGGTCCCCTGGCTTCCAGCCTTGTGGGAAGATCAAGTCGACATCTTCTAAATTGCTAGTTCTGGGCTAGGATAGGTAGGTGATGGGGGTTGAAAGGAAGTTGGTGACAATGAAGATCAAATATGATGATCACGGGAGTGGTCATCGTGACCATGACCATAGTGAAGTTCCACGGCCAGTTAAAACTGACACCAATCGACTAAAGTATACTTTATCCCCAGTTTACAGTGCGCCCAGCTCTGTTGGGGATGGCATTCTCAAACAAGAATTGCTACAAAAAAAAAGGAATCTGAAGATTCTAAGATTACCTCAAATGATGAGCCATCAACCTGATGCGCTGGTGCCTATTTAGAAACGGGCGCAACTTCTCTCTCTTCACTCATCACGTCTTCTTACCTTCACCTTTCTCCAATCTTTCTCACTTTTTTATCCCGTGGCGCAAAAGAATGTTGTCTACAGCAGTATCCACTACTTTTCAGAGGGCCAGGAACCTTGCACTAAGCTTTTGTTCGACGTCGGCAGCATCATCTCCACTTAGTTCAATATTTGTGGATTTACACGGAATCCTCAAGTCATCCCACCCGATGCTGTGCTCGCTCTAGGGATAGCTTCTGGTATAGATACCGGTCTTTTACCAAAAGCCGATGTTTGAGTCAATCTCTATCACGCTTTTTAGCCGCCTCTCCAAGGTTGACTGGAAACCTGAGCCTCTCCTCACTATCCTTGTTGTGATATTAGATTATTAGATAAGCTTAATCCTGACATCTCCTTTAGTATTATGTATCATGTTAACCTAGAGTTTGAAAGAGTTATTTCTGAAACCTCCGTTAAGTTAATTGAAGAAAAGCATTACGGGGGGATCTTTTGCTCCCCGGTGGACAGTTCGCATTGGATCTTTCCTAAATGGCCCTCGACTTCGGAATGAAGTCTGTTGCACTGTGAATTTTGCGAACGGACCTCTCTGAATCTCTGGTGATACGGCATATATCCAGTGAGAGAGCTAAAACCCTGTCACTGTTATTGTTAAAGTCCACAGAATGAGCATGAGCTCGTTTATCATAGTAGCCCGGGATCTGCATAGAATCCTCGCGCTTTTCGATGTGGGAGATTTGTATAAGTGATTCCAGGGAGCGATAGCTCGTGGGGAAGCTGAAATAAGGTAACGAAGGCCATGCAACTGGGACAGTGACCCTGATATCTGATATTTTCAACAACATCTATACCGTCACCGGTGCCATCAATGTGCACGTTTCACTGGCACCAGATATTTTATCGATCCGTTCTTTCTTTCTGTTCTCATGCATTTAAATTTTTACAAATCTCTGATTGAATAAGACTTGTAAACCAGGGAGGTGGAGTGACCAAGCTCTGGAGCTATCGTGCCTGATGGTTGCTAGATAGCTGATGAAAGCCCTTTTTCCTGTTTAGTTTTTCCTATCATTCAAGTTTAACTCCAGTCACGGGTTGAAAAGTAATAATGCTACGCGCGATGTCCCCAAACCTTTCTAGCTAAAACACCACCAATGTTAAGAACTTCCGAAATAGACGCCCGAAAGGAACCCCTTAAAGCAATACAGAAACGCCTGAAACATCATTTCCCTTTTTCATTTCCACTATGTGTATGCATTGGATAACTGAGCTACATCGTCAGTGAAGAGGCCGCTGATGCGGCCGACTGTTATTGTAAAATTACACTCTAGCTATCACAGGTTTGAAATCGACGCCTATGAGTTCTTATCTTCAATATGCACCTCTTTTGACGAGCAACGTCTATCAAACTGGCTGATCACCTCTCAAAGGATTGACAGAAAGAAATTTCCATCTCCTCCAAATTCTCCTCAAACATGCCCCTCGTCAGGTATATTAATCCTCTCAGTTCTGCTGCCTTTCCAAGTCCCAAGTCAAATCCTTGTTCTCTTGGAAAATCCAGTGAATCTCTTCCTTGATTTCACCTCCAGGCAGCTTCGGTGCATCACCAATGGAAGTACGGAATAGGCGGAGCATCTGAAACGAATTAGCGATTATCCATAAATTTGAAAGCTATTCCCGTAAATTGATCATACTTCGAGGCACTAGGCAGTAGCCAGACTACAGTGGTTGCACAAGGTTCCGTCCTGCCTGAAATTGGCATGTCTCATAACTGAGTCTGTGTGAGACGAAGCGGATTTGCTAGGCTCGCCGCATGTGCTCCACGCTTGTTTTGCTTTCATTGCCTCTCGCTCCGCAATACAAGACGAATTTCCGAGGCGTTGATTTGCTTCTGCATATACTCCGTATACAGAATTGAGATGCCTCGCTTAGGCTGCTCATGGAGGATTCAAGGTGTCAAAGTTGTTTTGCTGATTGATACTGATGGGTATCGATCCAGATTGACAAAGGCTGATAAGAAACATTGTAGAATGCACTTGAAGGCTTTTTTTGACCAAAAAAGATTGAGACATTGTGCTGGAGAGCTCATTCTACAAAGAAGCTTGCAGAGTTGAGACAACAGAGAACTTTTCCCATCCAGTCTCTAGAACTCCACTGGCTAAGAAAGCAATGTATATCCGACCAGGTGGTGCTTCTTAGAATTTCATGCATGTAAACCATTCTGGAACGGCAGTGATTCTAATTCTTCAAAGCCGCCAACGTAAGCTCGTTTCAGACTGGACTCACTCGAAGACCGTTCACTAAGAGTGAAAAACACAGGTAGAATGATGAAACTGCGCTTCAAAACAGTTACTGGAATTGAAAGGTCTTCTAGACTGAATCAAGTTTTGTCAAATATGCAGAGACTATGGAATTCAAAAGCACAACTTTCCAACCATCCATGGATGCCGAGGTAAGAAAAAAAGATTACATCATGATTCTTGTCAGCCACTTGTGGCACGGGGTGTTGTGGCTAGGGTTTTCCTGATTGGTTTACGGCCCATCTCATCTCTCACATCCTCTCCTTCTCGCATTACTCGAGGCATCTTTAAACAACAGGAAATCATTATTTGTGATCCAACATCGAAATTCACTCTTTTGTTCAGCTCTGAGGACTTTTTATATTGGCATTTCAATCTATCGCAGATACCACAGGGTGTCTTAACACCCACAAACAAGCACTGCGATAATTTGTTGTCTTCCACCTTGCTTGATTGTCCTTTTCGCAAGCTGAGTGCCTATTCGTACATATATCTATATATCACTCATCTCCCGAGATTCAATTTTTGTGCATGTTTAGGGTGGATATATCATTTGATCAAGTGCGTCACAAAAAGCGATGTCGGCGATGGCTACTATCAACCAGAACTCCACCCAAGGGCCAGCGACTGGCAACAGCGCAGCCTCAGGGCTGGACTCAGAGATACACCTTGTTTCATCGCTAGCAAAGCTACAAGAACTTGAACGCAAGGTAAGTACATGAGCTGCTAACTCTGTCACGAAACCAAGTTAATCAGATCACGCAGATACATGAACTGCGTGGGTTCATGCCCCAGGGCTTGCTGGAGCCACTGGTGCCTATTGCAAACCCAGAAAAAGTGAAATTCGGCAGTCCGGTTGCTGAGACTCCTCAGATCCTCCGGGCTAGTCTGGATGAGGCCGCAAGCGCACGCGTCGCTGATGTCCAGCACTTTCAGTCCTTGTGGCGGGATCCGGAATTGACATCAGTATGGGCGCATGTTGAATCACGCATCAAGGAAGCCAATGGTCGGCTTCTTCAGCCGACTGGGAAGTGGGAAAGAGATTATGACGTTCTTCTAGAAGAACTAGAACGGAAAGAAAAGGCAAAAGTAGATGAGCATCAGCGAAAGGATGAAGAGGATGAACGTACTAAAGCGCAGTCTGCCGAGGGCAAGTGGACAAATGTTTTGGAACGGTTTGCTCAGCGGAATGTGCCCGGTGTACGGGTAATCACGGGCGAGGATGAGACTTCTCTAGCAGTAGCACTTGTTAGAGCTGGTGTTGTCTTCCACGTGAAAGGGGTGTCTTTCCCTGGCGCCCCGGCCTCTGACTGGGAGGTTTCGAGCAAGATCGCTGGCCGGCCACCCACAAAACTCGAAAGTGCTATACTTGGATGTGTGGAGTCACGCCCGCGAAAATGGGACCTTGCTTTCTTGCTGGCATGTTCTGTCCATGACTCTGAAGAAAACTCCTGTTAATGCCGATTTAGGACATGATCTCTTCTTATGCGGATATCAAGCAAACACCATGCGTCAAATGCCATCGTCTGACTGATAATGGCGCCCAATTGCCAACTCTCCGTCGTCCCCAGGCGAATCAACAGCCTTTTAATGGACCAGCACGTGCATACAAATTTGATGCCTTGCACTTTGGATGTGTCTGATTAAACCCTCTTTCTACATCGGCTTGATTCAATCTCGGAACTTCGAGGGGGATTTTGGAAGAAAATTAGCCCATTAGGAAAACTACCCATTTCAACTTGAATTTTGAGAAAAAAAAAAGGTTGGGACGACTCAAGCGAACGACTTGGATTGGAGAAATACAATTTCATGCAAATAACCCTCCCACCACCCCATGTTCATGCCTCTCGTTTTCTTTCAACCGCATTTTCCCAGCTCTTGTATTCCCTTCAATCCCGGTGCCTTCCATAAATACTATCGTGCCAAAAATCCGCCGGATACTCAACCCCATTCCGATCCCAATATCGCCTTGGCACACAATGTACCTCCTTCTTCCCAGTCCATCCCCCCTTCTTCGCCCTTCTCCCATTGCAATACTCAACAGCACTCCACGTCCCATGGTCCGGGACGTGGTATTTCCTCGTGCGGAAATCATATCGCTCCCCCGCAGGCCGCCGTGCCCAGGGTAATGGGCTGTAGCCCGACTCAGGGTCGTTCGGGTCGATACCCCATCGGGACCATTCTTGTCTCGTGGTCCCGGACTGTGGTCGAGTGGATGGATTTCTGTTCTTGGATTTGGGCTGGTCGATTCGACCCACGTAGATGTCTGGTCCTTTGCTTGTTAGAACATCAAAGATGCGCCAGCGGCGCGGCCAGTGTGTTGGGTTGCCGGGGCGTGGATCTTTGGGCCAGATCCAACCTAGCTGGGAGGGCATCGTGTTATTTTTTTGGGTTCCGGATATTGCTTTCGTAGTAGATTGGGCGTAAATGTTGAGTGTAGAGGACTCAGAAAAGATGAAGTAGACTGAAATTGGTTCCATGGATTGTAGCCCCTTTAATATTGCATGCTCTAAGGTTGCAATCAATAAATGAACCACTTGAATAGCTTTCCGCGACTCTCTTAACAGTAAGACAAACTCCAATCTCTAACTATAAGAAGCAAGACATCAGGTTTCCCTTTGTTTTCGCTTGTCTTGGTACAATAATCGAAACAATCAGATGGGAAGTGAAAATGAACGCCTCAAACTCCACAATTGAGGGAAAATCACGGCTGCGTGCATGGCAACTTCTTTATGCTGAAAGGTTCAGACGATCAACAACCGATGCACATGGGCATCCATCTTGCATTAAGCCGGCAAGATCTCGCTTGCTTGCTTGCAGATGACAGGCCTATCCCCCTTGGTCCTAATGGTGGTAGGTAGGTTCATCTCCTCACGATCTGTAGCCACGTATAGAAATATGTGCATCAACAACGGAGTCTCAAATTCTTAATTGGAGTTATCTCATACACACCCATGCAGACGCCCTTCGGGCATTGATATGTAGATCACAAAGCCAACGAGTAAGCAATGGGCTACTAAGCAAACGATGAACCTCCATCAGTCTAAAAGAAAATCAACCATCTATTAATTTCTTATTTCAAACATGTCTTGATCCTGACTTGTTGCATTCATTGACTTAAGGCCTTGAACTTGAATCTCATCCTGACAAGTCACAAATTGATCAAAGAATCTTTCAAAGCAGTGGCTTTACCAGTAGCGGGCGAGATCCCCGACCCTTGTCCAATGAGTCGCAATCAAGATGATTTGTACCAACATGGTCTAAGCACCAAGTCCATGGCAACTGTAAGCCAGGCGAATCGCCTCAAGCTCTTCAATGAAGATGAGGCATATAGGGCCTGTCACCACGGCAATGAGGTTCTGCAACGCATAGCCATCCAGGAAGGCGATTTCCGCCAGCAAGACAATGTGCCTCAACAAGGGGATGTGAAGCAGCAGGGCGAAAGCTCCAAGTAAGACAACACTCCGTCTGCGCGTGTCACTCAGCGTACCAACTGAAAGTAAGAGCAGCGCTGAGGCTATGCCGGCCATCAAGGCAATGCTTCCCATCCCTGTTATGTTCGCTACAGCCCCCCCCCCCCCATCAGCCAGCTGGGCAACTTCTACCCGCAGGGTGGTTTCGACCATTGGCGAGTCTATTCAACGCAAACCATGCCCTTCATGGACGTTGAAGAATTCCAGGCCTATACCCAAGGTAGCCACAGTGATATCAGGCAGCCAGCCAATTTCGACCAGCAGAACGAGCTCTGCCAGCAAACTGTCGACACGAACTTCCAGACCGGTATCAACGCCCTATAAAACCAGGAATACAACCCCAATGCCGCAGGCACAGATTTCTCCCAGATCAGACCAACCTGTCGGACCATCGCCAGGACCCAAGAGGAGAAGGATGTGAAAGATTATGGACGAGCCATTCGAAATGGACTGCCATGATTGGCCACAACAAGCTGCTGAAAGCAGCTGCCGATAATTATGCCACCGGCTTTGCGAGCCCCTCCGCAAACGATCCCATCATCCGTTCAGCGGATGACAGTCGGAACCTTGAATACAACTGGATCCTGGGATCCCTGTGGGTCAACCTCATCTATCTCCAAGCTCGCCGCCGCCGTGAGCAAGCCAAATATGAAATGAGAGGATAAGTAAGGCCCGGGTGAGAGAGTCTTGCGGTGCCCCGGAAGGGGTGAAACTGCGATGAGAGAAATCTGATAATGAGAATCTCGAGGAGAATTGAATGTGAGGCAACTTGATTTTATTTCGTATGCAAAGCCGAAAACTAAAATTTTTGAAAGTAAAATTTGACACTTTCAAATGGCCATCGCTGCTTATATTATTTTGAACCGACAGATAAGAGAAAGGACAAAATGTAAAAAAAAAAGTATGCAAAATATTATGAGAGTACCATGCAACGCCGCTTTCTTGCTATGATCGTAAATCCAGATCGCTTCAACAGTATAACGCCCCAAAACAGAAAAATTTGTTCATGATGAGTCAATGCGAGTGCACCGAGCGAGCTCTTTTCAAGTGGCGAGAACACCAGCACTGCCCGCAAACCAGGTGAATGAAGCGAAGGTGATCACGGCCATGCCGACGGTAAATTTGATAGCTAAGCGACTGGTGTCAGAGAGGGCGCCGCTGCAGGTGGCGCACTTGAATTCTGGACGAAGGTTAGCAGCCAATTGGAGCAAGGATGGTTGGTTTGAATACTCACCGTTGAGTGGGGTGTAAGGCTGGGGAGTGTACATCCCGAAGACGTAGCCGCCATTCTGCGAGCTCAGGTATCCCGCACGCGCCGGGTCATTGATTTCCCTGCTAGCATCGTAGATGATGAGAGTATACGATGCGGTGAGCAATGGAATGGTGGCCGATGACTGGTACTTTCCAGTATCCCACACGAGGCTTCCAGTTTGCTTCACAGTCATGTTGGAACTGAGCGTATATGTCATCGAGTTGAGACTGCACGAGGCCACGACGTTGACTGCAGACGGCGTAACCAACAGGGAGGTGTAGTTCCACACAAAAGTCACATCCTGGCCGATCTTATAGTATGTCGTGGACGAGGAAGCGGGGGTGATCATGGACACGCCGCCAGCAGCGGCAGCAGGGTCAATGGAGATCGAGGTTGTAGCGGTGGTCTTGCTTTTTCCCGTTGTCTTTGTGCCAGTTGTTTTGCCGGTTGTCTCCGAGTCGGTCGCAGTGCCTGTTATGGTGTCGGAGTTGGTGTCGGAGTTTGTGCCAGTGCTGGTGGCAGTCTTTGTGCCAGTGTTTGTAGCAGTAGTGGTTCCGGTGTTTGTGTTTGTGTCAGTGTTTGTGGCTGTGGTGGTTCGGGAATTGGTTCCAGTAGAGGTCTTGGAGACAGTGGAAGCATCCGTGGTAGATTCGGAAGTTTCTGCAGTTGTTGTGTCTGTGGTATCTGATTTGTAGGTCAGCATCAAAGATAATGGCATGGTCAGAGTCGTAAAATACCCGCTCGCTTTTCCAAGGAGTCACCCAGAAGTGCTCCATAGGGCCGCCACGGCCAAGCCGATGACATTGTCCCCAGCAATAGGATGGTGCAGAGCACGCTCAGAATAAGAAACCGCATGTTCAAGGTTGGAGAGAATCTCTGGAGGTTCAAAACTCAAGCGACCGAGGTGTTACTCCCTGAAAGATGGGCAAGACTGATCACGCCCCTTGCACAACCCGATGAGACTTGTCAAAAATAAAACAAAACAAACAAAACAAAAAACGTAAAGCCTCCTGTATCAAAACAGGCTTATAGATTTGGTGTTCGTACCAAGCAACTTCAGTTGCTACGGAAGGGCGATCACAAGGACGTGAAGTGCAGAAGATATTATTGGTCAGTCTGGATGCTAAAACAAGCCGATCTCAGAAATGTGGAACTTCGATTCGAGCAACGACTGTAAATCGCTTCAAGGCGAATTGTGAACAGTAAACGAGTGTCTTCACGGATGATTGGAGAGAGGGAAAAGTCAGAGAAAGAGAAGATGCGATGTCTGAGCTGTATTGCGGAGCTAAGCCCAAACAGGTAGTGGCTATCAGATATGTGAGACACCGGCTATTTATAGCGGCTGACAACTATTTGGACTACCAAATGAATTATTGACCAAGTACAATAACTGAGTATATTAAGTCCAAGTTACGGCTCATTCAAATTGGGGCAACAAAATGGATTGGCTTTTAGCAAAATGTAAGCAAAGTGGCCTATCTCTTGATGAGCAATCAATTAATCTCATTTGCTAGTCCCTTTGCCTTTCATTTATCCGGTCATGAACATCACATCAAACTGAAACTGGTTGCTCCATACAATATAAACTTCTCCTGGTGAGTTTCGGGACGATATCATATCTCATAACGATATACTTCAATGCAACCGACTATGAACGTGATTGGTGCTTGTTGTAACTTGCCCTGAATCATCAATTAATCATCTATCCCTTAGTTTTCTAATATCCCATCATCCTAAAGCTACAACTTCCAGATAGGCGATTTGAATGAACCCTGCAAAGCCATGGCACAGGAGAGTTAGACAATGATACCCCAGAAGAGCCTTGTATCAATGACAGAGTCCTGTACATATGTCTCTGGGACTGAGGTTTGACGTCAACCACAGTTAAGACTGTCATACCTACAACGTTGAATCATCCAGAGCACACATCTAACATCGCCACCTGACTCCCGTACCCAAGGTCGGGCATCTTTCGGCTCCGCCTAAAAAGTCCCCTAAACGTGGGGGTGGCGATATGACCACAAGGCAACAAGGCATGGGCACCCGAAGATTACTAGGAATATAGGAATATAGGAATATAGGGAAGGAATGGAGATAGAGATGTGGAAATCTATAAATTGTGAGAACAGGGTGACACCAGAGCAATTATAGGATATCCATGGATCGTGCGATAACCAACTAGTAGAATAATCCAGATGTTATCAATTAAATCGGACTTTTATGCCGAAATTTTGCTGAAATGAAAGTCCCGTAGAAATTCGAAATTTGGAAGTGAACCAAAGAAAAAACTAGAAAGCATGTATCACATTCTGGTATTCGCTATATAGCAAAATCCAAAATCCCTCTAAGCAGAGCTCTTCGGAACAGCGTTCAGCTGGATTCTGTCACATCCGGCCGGGACAGCAGGCTCCTGAACAGTCTTGCTAAGGAAGTGCAAGTTGGGGAATAACTGGCCGGCCTCTAAATCAGCGAGGCACCCTGAAAGACAGGAGTCAGCCGTTTCCACTCGACACCATCATGTAGCCATGGAAAGGGGGGGAACTTACAAAGCCATCCATCCCAGGTCTCACTGGGTCCCTCGATGCCATGGTGGCCGACAGAGAATCCCTTGGAGCCGTGAGTAGGCTTGATGCTGATCTGTGCGCGCTCTTTGCGGACACCTATTTGGTACCAATGTCGTTAGCATTCTGGGTTCGGGAAAGAGCCATATTCCAAGGTAGACCAAGAAGATCGTACCTTCCACGTTGATCAGGTCCAGAGCCCAGGGGGCCGTGGTCTGAGTATCCAAGAGGACGGTGCCGTTGACGAAGGAGAAAGCGGCGGCGCGGCTGGCTGGGGCCCCGGAGAAGATGGCTTCGTTGTTGAGCGGATCGCTGATCAGCCCGTGGCCGACGGAGAGGTACAGGTTGTTGTGAGAGCTATTGCTGGCTCCGGAGGTCTTTAGGTTGAAGAGCTTCTCAGACGGGCCGGCGGCCACAGTGGTGGTTAGGAGAGCGACGGTGGCGAAGAACTTCATTTTGAGTGAGTTAGTGAGCAAGTTTGGAAATTTCAAGCTAATGGTGGACGGTTTCGATTGTTTTAACATGTATATTCAATACGAACCAGGGGGGGGTAGAGGAACTTGACGGGGAAGTGACGCATTTGTTTGCTTTTTGATTTCCATGGGAGATGGCCGATGAACACTCCACGAGTATAGGGCCCTATTTCCAGTGTCCAACGCTGATCCGGATTCTAGGTATCTGTGAGATCAAAGAAGATCAAAGAAGCCATTGCTGGTCAGAGATTACTAGAACTGGCGATTGATTGTTCTTCGAGTTCTATTCTACTCTTGACTCGGGTGATGTGGCTCTTTATAAGAAATCATCCATTGTATTTCTTTGCATACAAGGCAGTGGCTACATTGAACAGACATAACTGCTGTAGGATCTCTCTTGATCCATACTGCTGTATCAGAATGCGTGTTTGGGGTAAATGAAAGGACTAACCCACAACATGCTGATCACAATCAACATCCTGAAAGTTACCAAGTGGGTACCTGACCATATTGTGTGCTATCCGAGCTAGTCATGATTGTGATCACAGATCACACCCACTGGTGTCCCTTCTTTCGATCAGTGGAAGTACCTCAAACTAGGATTCGTGACATCCATGACGAGGTTTTGCCTCTAAGATGGGGTTTCACAGTGGGTGAATTTTATTTCTTGATTTTCACAAAAAGCAAAAAACATCAAGGATCATAAACCCCGCTTTGCCAAAGTAAAGGAAGTCGAACGACGAACGCCAAGATCTTGTGGAGCCCTTCCCCTGAATCCTGTCTGAGTTGGTCTCTATATACATCGGGTTGTTGCGACTCTATTTTGGACAGACAAAAATTTCTTGCCTATTCACCTCCGTACATCCTCGCTTCAATCTCATTTTGCATCGTTTATAACTTATAGTCCCATCCAAAATAGAACACGGCTTATTGAAAACTGAAAACATTGAAGGTGAGGGCTATTGGAAACATTGTGAGAAAATCCAGCCCCTTTCTTTGAAACGTCAGAGGGGAACGTGAGGTACCTAAAGATTGGAAAGTTTTCTCACACTTAGCAAACACCATGAGTGGAATGAGAACGGCAGGTTGCCTGTAAGTTTGTTGGAAGGCCTTCGTAGTGTTCCGTGAGGCGTTTTGAGCATCTGCCAAGTGGATACCGTCCACTGACGATGGAAAATGTAGTATGATGTACTTCTGTATGTCGTGTTTCTGACTATGTAATTGCATAAAGGGCATCGGTATTGTCACTGTCATTCATCATATCGTGAAACTCACTATCGTACTTGAACATCCCCGGAGTGGAAGGAAGAATATCCTCTCCAATTTCTTCCTCGTCAGGGATGCCCTTACCCCACCGATTTTTTTTTAACAAGCCCTTTCCCTTCACCGTTCCCGATTACTGGTATGCCGGGCAAATTCAGGCTTCAGAGTCCACCGACCCCGACGATCACGACCATGCTGAAGTGTCGCAACCTTCTTCAATGACTCCTGGAACTCAGCAACACGCTGCGGGTTAGAGCAGTAATGATTGAAATGGTGAACAATCGACTGCGATAGAGTCGGCCCACGCTGACAAGCGAGATAATCACGGATCAAGGGCATGAAATCTTTGCCGCGAGGCATACGCGCTGATGGACTATCAGAACCACTGGCTCTCTGTCCAGCAGCTGCGGCTGCAGCGGGGTTAAGCCTAGCCAGCAGATCTGAGGATGAGGGTCCTACCCCGGCCGGCCGAGCTGAGCTACCACCAGCCCGTGGATCTTCACGGCCGCCCATCCCAAAACGGCCTGTCCAGGTGGGAAGTCCGATTGGGAGTGCCCGGGCAGTTTCTTCGGCTTTACGGAGCTCTTCGGCGGCTTCGTTCGCGACGCGGCGAGCTTCGGCTTCAATCATCTTGGGATCTGCGCGAACGCCTCGTTTGCCATTCACAATCTGGTCGTGCTGGACTGCAGAGTGGACGCCTGAACGAGCAAATATGCCATGCATGATGCGGTCTTCGGAGGTTTTGGCATTTTTGTCCTCTTCGGCCGCGTTTTGAAATTCTTCGACATTGGCAATACCATTGATGTCGGTGATGTCATCTTCCGCTTTGGGAGTCGGGCCAGGCTTGATGTTTTTGCTTCCAGGGACATCTTTAGCCTCTTCCTGATATGTGACTTCAGCGTTCTTGAAGAGTTTGGTCGTCTCCAACTCCTCGTCATTTTCATCCGTAAGTGTGAACAGATCATAAAGATCACTGAGCTGGAAACCTTCTCGCTGATGAGGATCACGGGTGATTTTATTGGTCAAAAATTGTTTGAAGATCTGGCGATGATAGATCTTCTCTTCGATAGTGCCCTTGGTCATCAAGCGGAAGATGGTGACATCACGCTTTTGGCCCAAACGCCATGCGCGCTCTCGCGCCTGCAAGTCAGTCGATGGGTTCCAGTCGGGATCGTAGATTATGACACGGTCAGCACCTGTCAGATTCACTCCGATCCCGCCCACACGGGTGGTGAGTAAAAAAACGTGGATCTCGGGGTTGTTGTTGAATTCGTCAACCAGATTCTGGCGCTCCTTGATCGGGGTAGTCCCGTCCATTCGGCGGGAGTTGAATCCACCCAACACTCCAAGAAATTTCTCAATGATGTCTAACATCAGACGGCCCTGGGTGAAAACCAGGGTCTTATGGCCAGTATCTCTCCAGACCTCAAGTAAACCCTTCAGAACCTTCATTTTACCAGACCGCTCCGCATCACCATAGTCTGCCTCGCGAGAGCGCAATGCATGATCTGCCAAGTCTGGATGGTTGCTGATCTTGCGCAGGATATCAATGCCAAACAAAGAGTTCCTTTTCCCTCGTACAATGGATTTCATATCATCAGAGCCAAGGAACCTCTTGTAGATGGTTCGCTGCAGTTGGGTTAGTTTACAGAAAATGACCTGTTCGCTTTTCATCGGCAGATCAGATGTCACATCGGCCTTGAACCGCTGCAGCAGATAAGGACTGATCGCATCTTTAAGAGTTTCCGCACATTTGGCGGCAGTCTGCACTTGAAGGTTTGATGCAGATGCATACCCGCCCTGGCGGATGGGGATCTCAAACTGATTTTTGAATGTAACTAGGTTCCCCAGGCGCATTGGAAACACAAAATCAAATAGGGACCAAAGATCCACTAGACTGTTTTGCATGGGGGTTCCTGAAAGAATGATGCGGTGCGGAGTACGGAGTTCCTTGCAGCTGAACGTGATGCCAGCGTCTGGATTGCGGATTTTATGACCTTCGTCAAGGATGGCACAACCCCACTCAACATCAACAAGAGCATCTGCATAAGACTGTAGACCAGAGTATGTAGTTACGAGGACGTGGCCCTCTTCGGTGACACGCTTTATAATCCTTTTATCCGCTTTCTGACCAGCAGATAGTTGTCGAGAGTTGCGGCTGCCCATCATTTCTGATGAAAGCGCATTTTCCCGACTGCTTTCCTTGCCAAGATTTATCATTCCACTGCCTGATGAGTGTAAGATGGAAACACGGAAGGGAGGCCACCAGCGGTGAAACTCGTTAACCCATTGTTTCATAAGAGTTGCAGGGCAAACGATGATGGCAGGTTTGGTGAGTTTCTTGCTATGATGCAGTGCTGCAAGATAAGAAATCGCCTGGATAGTTTTCCCCAGCCCCATCTCGTCTCCGATGATTCCACCGACAGTTTGCTGGTGCAGCTCCCAAAGCCACTGGACTCCAATTTTTTGATAGGGAAACAGGAAGCGACTTATGTCTCCAGGGACCCGTAGTCCATTGTCAAGTTCCATAGCTGGTTCAGTGGGATGTGGCTTAAGCCACTCATCCTCATCTTTAAGATCAGCTTCAACAGAATCACCGTCAGCGTGCTGTCGAGCAGAGCTTCGCCTGCTGATCCATTCCTGAACGCGAGACTGATATACTTTCTCATTTCCATCATCAACCCCACTCAAATCTTCAAGCTCAGCGGTCGCTTTTCCTTTCTTGCGCTTGCGACTTGGCTTGGTCTCAGGGAGAGTATCAGGCATGAACTCTTCGCCCTCGGATGTAGCGTCAGCTTCAGAGGCCACATAACTTGCCTCAGAATCCGCTCCTGGGGAGCCGGGACGATCCAATTTTCTCCGCTTGCTCTTAATTTCGTTGCTCTCGTCAAAATCAAAGTCTGGGCGTGCCAAATTCCGGTGGGATGCGGTTGGCTGATGTTTGGCCTGTTCGCGCTCCTCCTCTTCCTGCTGCTGGTCCTCAGTATCGACAAGAGCATCGTGAAGGTTAGCAAGTGGTCCATCTCTAGAGCCTTCTTGCATCAATGCGAACGGGGTGATCTTTCCGGTTCGCAGAAGATAGTCGCGGCGGGACTCATTCGGCTGTCTCCCTGACCCATGCGCCACAGTTGAATTGCCCTGCGACTCGCGCCTCTCATCAATGCGCTGTTGTATTTCTTTCAAGTCTTTCCCTAGATCGGCCTTGCGCACCTGCAGCCTTTTGAGCTCATTCTCGACCCGATGGCGAGTAGCGGCTCCGACGGGCTGTGTCAGGCGCTGCTGCGCTTGGCGGACCTGCGAATCGACCCGTCTGCAGAATAAGTCAATAATGCCATCAATTATCAAGGTGTGCGCTCTTACTCTCGATCCACAAGGGCTTTCTCGAGTCGCTTGATGTCATTCTCTTCTGCTTTGTCGGCCAGAGCTTTATCAGCCTGAAAAGAAGAAATGGAAATGTGAGTCCAAAGTAATAGAAAATTGAGAGCAAGGCCATACCTGGCGAGTTATATCTCTTTCAAGATCATCCTGGTCACGGACATCTGCTTGGAGGTCACGCAGGCGACTCGCCTCCTCGTTTGTAGACATTGTGAGGGTCGTCCAAATCAAGACTGAATTAACTGAAAAGAAGTGAGATACTAAACGACTTTGTCTAGGGCAAGTTGGAGCATGGTAATTGCTCCAAGAGCAAATACAATAGCACTATAGCACATGCAGCAGTA